TAAGAGGTCTTGCAGTTAAGCAATAATACACACAACGTTTAGTTCAACTGAAGAAAATATTGTATGCTTGGTGTGGTTTCAGAATAAATAATAAGTTCATAAGTGGAAGACACAAGGCGATTGAACGCCTAGTGTGCTTTTCCGATGGATTACCTCTGCCGATGCTGTTTGGAAGCTATTGTTTGACAGCAGATTGCTGTTTTTGAAATCGAACTTCCTATTAGTATCAATACAACTGACGCCTACGCCGACACCAACAAGATTCTTTTCGTGCATATACGTCCCTGCGGTTGCACCAATAGCGACACCCATGGTGCTTCCAGTACTGGAACCATTTCCCACTCCGGCGGGAGAGTTGTTGCCAGCCGCTACTGTACCGCTGCCGACGCAGTTTCCATTTTTATTCATGTCCGGAACGCTCATGAATCGAAGGTTCCCATCAAGGCTGGCGCCAGGTAACGCCCGGTGGCTTGATATATTGTAAATAGCGGCCGAATTCAATTCCCCCGGATTCAATGGACAGCTGTTTACAGTCATTATGCTAGCGCCGTTGCACAGTACAGTAGACTGTTGGGATCCTGCTGGTCCTGGGCCTGCTCCAGCCATGGGCCTATTCACAACGTTAGCGTAGCTTTGTTGCTGCTGCTGCTGTTGCTGCTGCGTATGCTGGAGGTGGTGGGACTGCTGCTGCTGGTGCGTCAGGTGGCTTGACTGGTGAGTGCTCGGCGTTGAAGTCTTAAGTATTGAAACCACATTGTAAGCCTTGCTTATCGGATACTGTGGCTGTGACGCCGTGTGGCTATGCTGCTGCTGTTGCAGGGACTGCTGAAGAGGCTGTGGCTTTGTGGGCGGCACCTGTGGAGCATACTTTTTGGACTTTTTATTGGCTGGCAATATCTACAACAGATCACAAGAGTTGAGATGTTTTTCTGGTCTATGAAATTATAACCAAATTGAATTATCTTTTTTCAAAAAAGGTCGAAAGTTAGTAAAGTAACGAAATCCATAAAGGAACATTTACAAAATATCAACTTAAAATAATGACAAGAAAGTCGACCATTCCGACTATAAGATACCCGTTATTCCGATTTGGTTTCATTGTTGAACCGACTATTTTAAGTTGAAACATTCTTCAAACCACGTTTGGAGCGCTGAAAAGCTCTTTATATTTTCATTTCAGACCACAAAGGTATTTAATTAGAGAAGGAAGCCTAGTCAAACACACAAAAAACGAGAAGGAACGTGTGAGTCGCTTCTGGGGACGCGATTCTACTTATACCCGTACTCAGTCAGTATATACATTTTTGGCCAAAATTTTTTAGAATTTTAGAATTTTAAAAAAATGATACATTTTACATTTTTTTGCTACATCTGTTATCTACATCTACAATGTATATTTTACATCTAACATGTAGATTATAGATGTACCATTTATATTCTACATCTCCTCCGCTAGGGGTTGATCGCGTTTTATCGTATCTTTAAAATTGTGCATGCCACAGATTTTCGTCCTTTGTGGGGGCGGAAGGGGGCGGGGCGAAATTTTGAAATACACTTGTATCAGTGTGATATCACATGAGTCTGGAAACCAAATTTGGTTGCCCTAGCTATTATAGTCTCTGAGATCTAGGCGCTCAACAAGACGGACAGACAGACAGACAGTCGGACAGACAGACAATCGGACAGACAGACATGGCTATATCGACTTGGCTAATGATGCTGATCAAGAATACATATACTTTATGGGGTCGGAAACGTTTCCTTCTCTGCGTTGCACACATCCACTTTTACCACAAATCTAATATACCCCTTAACCCTTTTTGAGTACGGGTATAATTACATGTATTCCATACTATTCTTTCAAATATATCTACAGCCGCGGTCAAAATAAAGGTTTCCACCATATACTGTAATACATACATGTGTATTTAGAAGCAGTGGGCAACAATAAACAAAACAGACCTTTTACCACGACATTTACATAAATTGTACATGTCCAACCGAGTCTAGGTCTCAGTGCTCAGCGCAGCATTTGTTATTGGATTCGGGCACATGGAATAGATTACCAGCTGCGTCCTTGGATCAGTTTTTTTAAGCAGCATCCCTAAGTGTTAAATCATTGTTCCAAGATGACAATTTTTAACATTCCTTCAACATTAACCAATAATTGCAATAATCTTTGCCTAAAGGCCAGTCCATATAATACAAACTACAGTTAGCATCTGCTGATCCATGGATCCAGCACGAGGTCTGTGTATGGTATGTGCTATCTTCATTGACTTGGACTAGACATAATATCTACCATCAATGAAATGATTTTCATCAAGATTTGATCCATTCATTCCTCTGTTAAAGCTGAGGACGTGTTTATAGCTCCTTAGTGCTAATATTTTGACCTCAACTGTATGTCAAGAGAACTTGGCTTGACTGATTTTGTACTCATAATGATCCATGCAAGATGCATGCATGTGTCGGCTAAAAATTAATCTGAGCTGTGGAAGTTCCACCAAATTGTAAGAAGTTTAGATTCCCCAGTTTACTATGCACTATGATCTGTCCGAAAACATAGATTTTTAACAGAACAGAGAAAGCGAATCCAGATAGAGTGACTTGGCTTGCCATCCTGCTAACAGGTTTAAATAAATAAATAAAGTTCAGACTTCTGTTATAAAATAATAAACTTCCTTTCTAAAAAAAATAAAATATGAATAATAATAAATAATGCTTTTCTGCTTGAGCTAGTACTAGTTCAGAGACATTTCCACCAGGGAAACATCCAAATCAAAATCGCAGGTAAACAAAAAGAGAACAAATATTCGACTGATCCGAATTTTCTAAACACTTATTACTGGCAGATAAGATCCATGGCAATAGATAAATATTTTTAGCTATCAAATATTATACAAAACACATTAATATGTAAATTTCAGCTTAGCTACAACTTTAAATTTTGCGTCGGACGTCCATTAAAACAAAATATCTACAGTTACGATAGCATTTTAGCTAAATAATATATATTAATATGGTATAGTATAAACAAAGCTTCTCCGTCATCTTCAAGATTCTAGTGAGTCAAGAGAGTGCGAATTTTGCCATATTGTGCATCAGTCAACGTTATTTAAATTCAATGTTGGATATATGCAAGCTGGAAATGGAATTCCTTGTAGCCAGCCAGCAGTCTACATCTACCGCAGTAAAGTGTGTTTGTGGGTCTGCTTGAGGTTTCACTTACCATATTTTGTGCTGAATGAGGCTGCATGGCTTTAGCTATATCGGATTGTGGTGATATATTTGGCGTAGCTTGTTGCATTACGAATAATCCTAGAAGTGTGATTGTATCTGAAATCGCCAAACGGTAAATCTAGCCGCTATACTGACGATTTCTGTGGCGATCTCGGGCCCACTGCAATGTGTCGTCACACAATCATCTGACTCTGGGAGAGTTATATGTATATGCTATATGAGTTAAACCAATTTAATTTATTAATGCTGCTTAGCTGTATCCTTCTTACCTGTAAATGAATCAAGCTATTACTCCCAGAAATGTTTGATCTGAAAGTTACAAAAAAATATCAAATTTACTTTACATATAAGTACCAAGTTCAGACATATTTGTACATACATGTGTACGTATGTGCACACACTTATATATATATACATATATATATATATATATATATATATGTGTTTCTGTTTGAGCCTAACTAAATCCACTTTTATATGTTCAAAAGCACATCCATATACATATATATGTATGCACAAATAGTTAAATTCACTTAAATTCTTTTCTAAAATCTTTACAACGTTTCGCCTCTAAATATTTGCCGACGTTGCCGTTTGCTGATGAGACGCACGGCGATGAGCATGAATGAGAGCTGAACCTCTTACAAAGCACCCTATTTAACAAAAAAAAACGTGTATCTGCCATTAATAGTATATTTCATTTTAAAAAGTAAAATACTTTTAAAAAAATTTCACACTGCCGATATATACATTAACAGTATGTTTTCAAATACCCGAAAACGTCGACTTGGCTTAAAATGTCATGTAATTTTAGTTGGAAAGTCCTTTGATTTACCTGGAGCATAAGTACGTTCCGTAACGAAGCAATTATATACAAAAATCAAAAGACTCCACCCAAAGTGTATTATTGAACAGCAACAAACTAAATTCTATTTCTAGTTGTTTTTATAATCCAAAATCTACTTTTTTTTATTAATTTCCACATGCAATGTGTTCTGTTCAGTGTGACCGTGGACTTATCGATCAAATATATCACCTGACCCTCAGATATATACTGAAATATACCTTCTCATATTCGAAATATACCGTAAATAAAAAAATGAACTGAACCTTAAGGGCCCCTTGACATTAGACTTTGCTGAGTAGCTGGAGAAATAGAGATAGCCTTATGAGAAATGCCTGCAGTCAGAGCGCAAGAAGTATATGCGTCAAGCTGTCTTCCCAGTTGAGCTGGGGGGGGGGGCATCAACTATTTTTATTATAACAGGCAACTTTAAACCCCATGGTCCATCTGAGGGCTAATCAACACGCTGTATTGTTGTTTCACCCACACTTACTGCGCTGAGCCCTTTCACTCGCACTTATTTTAAACATTGTTAAAGCCTAGTACTCAGATCCAAAAAATGTTTTCTAGCAAACAAATGTCATATATTCTTCTAGCGGCCAGTGGTGTGACCAGAGGTGTGTACTGTATTCCGAACGGTTACACTGCTCAGACAGCTGCTTGGTTTTGTCACTAACCATACAGTATACTGTATGGTTAGTGGTTTTGTTTAAAGTTCATAAAAAGCACTTCTTCGGATGGGGTCGCTTTTCCCCAGGCATATCATGGGCTTCCCAATATTTTATTGGCAAAGTAATGTGTCTGACAATCAGCAGCAGCAGATGGCGACGCCTCCCATGCCAACCACCGTGAAGACGAAATGTTTTGAAAGCAATATTTGGTTTATAAATTGTTTATAAAATTAAAAGTTCCTCCTCTCAACCCACCAATACTAAACGGATGCTGGCTCTCCTTCAGCGACAATGGCTGCAATTCGTCTGAGAGACTCCGACCAATGGATGTCACAGCACACTGGTCACGCAACTATACTAAACGGAAACGTGATTGTCCCAACAAAAACGTACTCCTGTGTTCCGAGGGAGTACATAGATACTCCTTTTGAAATAATTATCCCCCACAGAGACAACTGGCTCGAGGGACCACCTGGCCCAGACGGAGCCATACAAATCTTCACAGATGGCTCAAAACTGGACAATAAGGTCGGAGGGGGAATCTACTCCGAACAGCTAAACATAAGACACTCTTTCAGGCTTCCAGATCACTCCAGTGTCTTCCAAGCGGAGTTCATAGCGATCAACGAAGCCTTGGGGTGGCTTTGTGAAATTGCCACTACGGCATCTCATTTAAACATTTATGTAGATAGTTTGTTTGCTTAATGGCAATTTATTTATAAGTATGGATTTTGAACTTAATATATATTTCTTAGCTCCAAGTACAATTTGTGGTACAGTTATGTTCTTAACTTATGTGTGTGATTTTCGTACGATGCGTGGCTGAATTACGACTGACTGTCTCTGACTCTCGACTTCGACTGATCTCGCTTCTTTGCTCTCGGCTCTTTCAGAGCCGAAGGCTGCCTATACAGACGACGGAGGGAAAAAAAGGTGGATAGATACTAGAAAAATAGCCGATGGTATTTGCTGGTATTCGTTGGTATGTTGCTAGCCGCTTGAAAAAGATATCATTGTATCTCCGCCAGGTACCCTAGCAAACACAAACGTAAACATTTCAAAGAACCAAATGAAATATTTAAATAATGAAGACAAATATAATCTAATTAAGGCAGCTATATGAAGGAAAATTATATGGATATGAAAATATATTTTTCAAAACATGTTTTCTTCACGGTGGTCGCTGGCGGTTGCACGAGAGGCGTCGCCATTTGATGCAGCTGATAATAATAACGTGCAGCGAGAGAACTGCATTTCATTCACTTTATTTATTTTAATAATTGTATTAACATAAACAGCTGACTAGCCGTGTAACCGTAGGTCATGCAAACCTGGTCACCGTCGCCCGCTAGCAACATATATAGCACTTTTTGCTAGCAGACATTTTTTGGAACTACAGTGCAGATTCTGCACCTGACCAAATCGGCACGCACACGCCCGAGGAAGATGGCCCAGACCAATCGGTATTTTGCCATGGATTGTTAGATGGCTGAAGTGGGCCACAATGGGCAGGAGGACATCCTGGCCTAAATCTCGATTGTCAATAGGTCGGGCATTGAGCGGTCCATTAAATTGCGCCATGGAACCTCCAGCATGGAGGGATGAAAGTATTGGGAGCCATGATCCTTGAAGTCGTGGTTGGCCCTGCGATTGAAACCTCCTCCTCCTCGATCAAAGTTCCGACCACGACCCTAACCATACGGCTGTAGTTGTTGCTGGCGGGGTCGCTGCATCTGCTCCTTGTTATAATAGAAATGTAGAATTCTTACCTTTGCAGTTTTGCCCTCGGGAAAGCAAAAATTGGGATGCTCTGGCTGTTCCATTCCACCAACATGCTGCGACATATAATCCGAGCTTAGTGATGTATTGCCACAGCCACATGTGGACACTGTGGACCTGATCGAAGATAAAGATGAGGAAGGCACTGATGCTGGCAGAAGCAGTTCCAGTGAAATTTGCTTCTTCAATACAGGTGAGGATGTGCCAGTTATGCATTCTCCTCAACTTGCGACCGGTACCAATGAAGACGGGGAGGATCAAAAGGAGAGTCCCCCGAACGCGTAGCAAGCATGCGCAACATCTTCTCACGATGCTATGAAATACATACATACATACGTTTCACACGAGCCCTCTCCCAACAGTCCGGGCTAGGCTCTCAACTCCGATGTAGAGAATTAGCCAATACCAAAAAAACAAACCAATATGTTAATTAATAAATGTGTAAATATATATGTTTGGAGTCAATTCTAAAATGTTTTTATAGCGGTACTCAAAGAGTTGATGGGTATTTTAGATTTGTGGTTAAAGTGGATGTGTGTAACTTAGCGGAGGAAACGTATCCGACCCCATAAATTATACATATATGTTCTTGAACAGCATCAATAGCCGATCCGATATAGCCATGTCTGTCTGACAATCTCGATGAGCGCCTAGATCCCAGAGCAACAAAATTTTGTTTCCAGGCTCATGCGATATCACGTTACTACAAGAGAATCTGCATGCACAATATTAAAGATACGAGAATCGCAGTATTGTAGAGAGTGACCAAATCTACCAGATTGCCGATCGTTCAGATCGGATTAAAGTTATAACCAGAATACCCATCCCATTCCAGCGCTACTCGTTTTTTCTCTCGCTCGCAGAAGAAATGTGAAATCTACTATGTAGCTGTAAAAGGACAGATATAAACGAGAAGGAACGTGTGAGTCGCTTCTGGGGACGCGACTCTACTTATACCCGTACTCAGTCAGTATATACATTTTTGAACATGATTTTTTAGAATTTTAGAATTAAAAAAAAAATGTTACATTTTAAATTTGTTTGCTACATTTGTTATCTACATCTCATCTACAATGTCTATTCTACATCTAACATGTAGATTGTACATGTACCATTTAGATTCTACATCTCCCCCGCTAGGGGTTGCTCGCGCACTGAACGCGGCAGAGTGTGCGAGCGAGATGGAAAATGAGTTGCGCTGTCGTCGGCGGGAGGGGGAGGGGAAGCAACTGAAAATTAATTTCTTCATTCTGGCTATAATTATGATCCGATCTGATTCAGAATCGGCAATCTGGTAGATATGGGCATTCTGTGCCTGCCACAGATTTTCGTCCTTTGTGTGGGCGGAAGGGGGCGGGGCGAAATTTTGAAATACACTTGTAGCAGTGTGATATCACATGAGTCTGGAAACCAAATTTGGTTTCTCTAGCTCTTATAGTCTCTGAGATCCAGGCGCTCATCAAGATGGACGGACGGACAGACGGACATGGCTATATAGACTCGGCTATTGATGCTGATCAAGAATATATATACTTTATGGGGTCGGAAACGTTTCCTTCTCTGCGTTGCACACATCCACTTTTACCACAAATCTAATATACCCCTTAACTCTTTTTTCAGTACGGGTATAAAAAGATATGTAAACAGATAAAATATTTAAAAATTTCACATAAATCATAAGCTCACATATGTATGTACATATATACTGACCGAGTACGGATATAGTAGTGGACTCGCAGCCATTGCAGGATGGTCCAGAAGCCCGTTTTTTTGGCATAATAATTGCTAAAATGATAAGTTCTTCCGTTATACATATGTATGCGGTAGTTATATGTTAGTTACACTACCCGACACTATTTTTTCGCTTCGTACCAAACCAACTTTTTTTGATATATTTGGGGCTTAAAAATGCTTAATGAATTTTTTTCTATGTAGAAATATTTTTTACTGAATTTTTTTTATTTATTATTATTATTTATTTATTTAAAGAAACTGAAAAAATGTTAGAGCACTTGAACTTTGATTCGCTATTTCTTCAGTTATATCCATTCTATCACCACGAATCAAAAATCCTGTGAAAGTTGGTATAATTTTCTAGTCCACTTTATGTTATTTGTTGATGTATGAGCTTCAAATTCCGAGTATAAATTATGAAAGGACCCAAACCGTTGGGCCAGAAACGTTTCAGACGGTAAAATGTGATTTTCGGAGGGTTTTAGCTCAGCTGTTTCTCCATAGATTTTGATAAAAAATACTTTAACCGACGGCTAATTAATGCACATATACACAAAAAACGAGAAGGAACGTGTAAGTCGCTTCTGGGGACGCGACTCTACTTTTACCCAGTATACTTATACTCAGTCAGTATATAAATTTTTGAGCTTATGATTTAAGTGGATAGAATTAAAAAAAAATTTACATTTACTTTTTTTGCTACATCTGTTATCTACATCTACATCTACATATTCTCCACCAGCGGGCGCTCGCGTACATAACGCAGCAGAGTGTGCGAGCGAGAAGGAAAATGAGTAGCGTTGTCGCTGGCAGGAGTGGGCAGGGGAAGCAACTGAAAATTAATTTCTTCATTCTGGCTATAATTATGATCCAATCTGATTCAGATTCGGCAGTCTGGGCATTCTCTACGATACTGCGTTTTTAGTTTTATCGTATCTTTAAAAATGTGCCTTCCACAGATTTTCGTTCTTTGTGGGGGCGGGACGAAATTTTGAAATACACTTGTAGCAGTGTGATATCACATGAGTCTGGAAACCAAATTTGGTTGCCCTTGCTCTTATAGTCTCTGAGATCTAGGCGCTCAACAAGACGGACAGACAGGCAGACAGTCGGACAGACAGACATGGCTATATCGACTCGGCTAATGATGCTGATCAAGAATATATGTATATACTTTATGGGGTCGGAAACGTTTCCTTCTCTGCGTTACACACATCCACTTTTACCATAAATCTAATATACCCCTTAACTCTTTTTTGAGTACGGGTATAAAAAGTTTATTTGGTTCGAAGCTGCGAAATGGTGTCGGGTAGTGTTATCAGTACTTAATATATTATATGAACAAAGCCGAGGACGGAGGAGCTGCACCTCCACAACACAATCTTCCAGTTGGTGAAAACGAATTATTCCCAGTGGTGTCCACCCTGTGGACGATGCGAATCTTCTGTATGTTCACAATGCGCTAATATCATCTCTATGATTAAGCTCAAAGGCAAAATCCAGGCCGAGAATTTCGGTCAGCAGCTTCCCTTTATAGCTGTGAGATCTGTGGATATGCAGTGCACACACAGTTGGATTGAGCCATCGATCATGTGCGGTTTCTCAACACAAGATAAGGCGATTATCTCTGTCTTTCTATAGATATATTTCGCATAATATATCCTGCTTCTATTTCTATTGGTACAGCTTCAACACGAGCGAGGAGGAAAGGAGGAAAGGAGCGAAAGGAGACACTTTTGAGACAAATGCAACAGGGATTGATTTCAGTTCGTACAATGCATGCATACCCTCATGTGCCATCAAAATACACATAACCAGGAGCTTTCGCACAAGTGCAGAAGCTTTGAAAGAGAATGAATCCCACAGCGCGCAAAATCACAATGTCGATGGTCTCTTAAACTACTGTTATTTTCCACATCAGGAAGAGAATGAGTTGGGTTCTCTTCAGGACACACTGACGGTGGTTTTGCTCCTGAAAAATGCTTCGAGAGATGGGCAGCTAGAAGGAGGCCGTGATGGTGTTGGGTTGGAGATGGCTGCTGCTTCTACTGTTGTTCTTTTCCTTGGAACGAACCACCGCTGCGGATGCTGCTTCGTTGGTTGTTGTTGTGCTGCTGCTGCTGCTGCTGGTCATACAAGAACTGATTTTGTTTTGGCTTATCATGTGTAAATCAGTTTATCTACTGGTAATGAAAAGAACAGAGGTACGATTCTCGTGGTTCGCTCTTAACGGTTAGGACAACTCAAGAAAAGTGAATGCTTAGTTTTTTTTAATAAATTGTGCCTCGATTAATTAATACAAATAGTGAGTTTTTCCGTATCGCTTGGTGGAAAAATGTGCACATACATAAATGTGTATATAAAAAAACAATTTTTATTAATTATATGCAAAAGGAGTGTGAATCCCTTGAGAGAAGGTGAATGCATTTTGTGGGGAATTCTTGTAATATTTTTGAGCTGAGCCTTAATATTACCTCTTATATACACAAAGTACTAAATTAAATATAAACACATTGACGTTCCAATAGAGTTAGTTTATTGATTTCAAACTTTTATTTTTTAAAGTGTAATAATATAATACAAAAAAATAATAATATAAACTATACATAAAATATATACATATGTACACACATATGTTTGTATGCACATGTACATACTCATTCTTATTTTGGAGTGCACAAATTTTACAATAGGTCCCAATTTGCTGCGCATACTGATACCTTTAACATCGTGTATGTGTATTAACGGATATTTGTATGTATTTGTAGGTGCTGGTGCTGTGCTGGTGTTTTTGCTAACAAATCTCATCTTGTCCATCCTCAAATGTACCATTCTTGGTGTTGTTGGTACTTCTTTAAGTTCTTGCATTCAAAGCTTTTCCTGGGTCGCTTTTCACACATATACAAGCACATATTTTGGGGTGTAAAAAATGTCTCTTAGTTCTTGGCTCTCTTCGCATCCATCTCTTCTTGATTTTCATCTCTTTCATCTCACATACTAAAGCAAGCATTTCTCTCTCATCTTGGGAAAATATCCAAGCTCTAAATGAAGCCTTAACTTTAACAGTGGCACATGATGCAAGAATACTTTTATTGCATGTACATATGTATATGTATATGCATGAATGTATATGTATATGTAAAGATACTATTATCTGAACCATTTGGAACTTTGCCCCAACCATTCCATTTGAGAAATTAAATTTTAGCCTCCTTTAGCTCTTTTATCCATGGGTATCCATGGGTAATATATTATGGTTAATCTATTTTCGATTATGAAATGTACTGGGAGAGATCAGGTGCCGGCTCTGTTTCTGAGAATTTCGATCAAGAATATATTTGTATGTATGCGAGTATGCACCCCATAAAGTATATATATTCTTGATCAGCATCAATAAGTAGTCGAGCCTATATGTCGATAAATGTCGATATATATGTCTGCCTCAGATACTATAAGAGCTAGAGCAAATACATTTTTTTGGATGCTCCTATGATTTCACACTGAATCAAGTCTGTTTTAAAATTGTCCCACGCTTCTTTCCGACTTCACAAAGGACGAAAATCTGTGGCGTCCACAATTTTGAAGATACTAGAAAACGAAAAACGCAGGATCTTAGAGAATGACCATATCTATCAGATGGCAGAATCAGGTTAAGATCGGATCATTGTTACAGCCCAAATGAAGAAATTAATTTTCAGTTTCTAACCCCAAACCTCTCCAGCGCTCCAGCCGCTACTGATTCTCTCTCTCGTCCACACACTCTGCCTTGCCTCATTCACTGTACGACCTGTTCTCCGCTTAACGAGCTAGAACGGCGTGTTGGTGTGAAACATTATGTACATATATGACAAATGAAGCGAAAATATTTAAACTGATAAACTATACTAACTAAGTGCGGGTTTAAAAGTAGAGTCGCGGCAACAGAAGCGACTCGCAACGTTCCTCATGGTTTTTTTTTTAAATTTTAAATCGCATTGCAATACATATGTATTTTTGACTACATTTTGTACATATTGTTTGTTTTCTGTACTTTCAGCGTATGCTTAGGGTGAATTCGATCGTTTATTAGCCGCAATGGTAAACGATAAAGTTCCGGTGCATCGTAGTTTTTAAAGGGAAACGAACACACACAATCTGCAAAGGGGCGTTTGCAAAGATGCGGCAGGCGGAGAGTGTATTTGTCAAACGGACCGGTAATATTACTCTTGTTGTCTTAGTGGTATTGTGTTGGAGTCCAGTGGCGCAGCTTAAGGGGCCGAGCAGTACGCATGCCCAGGACACTGTATCTGTTTCACTGCCGGGAGACATTATACTTGGCGGTCTGTTCCCCGTTCACGAGAAAGGCGATGGTGCTCCATGTGGACCAAAAGTGTACAACAGAGGAGTGCAGCGCCTTGAGGCCATGCTGTATGCAATAGATCGTGTAAACAATGATACCAACATACTTCCCGGCATAACCCTAGGGGTTCACATACTGGACACCTGCTCCAGAGACACCTATGCTCTGAACCAATCTCTGCAATTCGTGCGTGCGTCGCTTAATAACTTGGATACTTCTGTTTTTGAATGTTCTGACACATCCAGCCCGCAGCTGAGAAAAAATGCCTCGTCGGGTCCCGTTTTTGGAGTAATTGGCGGCTCCTACAGCTCAGTGTCCTTGCAAGTTGCCAATCTGCTGCGCCTTTTTCATATTCCCCAAATCTCGCCTGCATCGACCGCTAAAACGCTGTCAGACAAATCACGCTTCGATCTGTTTGCTCGAACAGTACCGCCAGATACCTTTCAATCCGTCGCCCTCGTTGATATAATCAAGAACTTTAACTGGTCCTATGTATCCACAATTCATTCAGAAGGCTCTTATGGTAAGAGATAAAATTCTTCCGATAACCGATATGTATACATATTGTATACTGCGTTCGTGCTTAACTCTTATTTCACAGGGGAGTACGGGATTGAAGCGTTTCATAAGGAAGCAACCGAGCGGCACGTGTGTATAGCTGCTGCCGAAAAGGTGCCCAGTGCTGCCGATGACAAAGTGTTCGACTCCATTATCAGTAAGCTTCAGAAGAAGCCGAACGCTCGCGGTGTTGTGCTCTTTACGCGCGCTGAAGATGCGCGCGGCATTCTGCAAGCAGCAAAGCGGGCCAAATTGACGCAGCAGTTTCATTGGATTGCTAGTGACGGCTGGGGAAAGCAGCAAAAGCTTCTGGAGGGTTTGGAGGAAATAGCAGAGGGAGCTATTACCGTAGAGCTGCAGTCGGAGATCATCGAGGACTTCGATCGCTATATGATGCAGCTCACACCAAGGACCAATAAGCGCAATCCATGGTTTGCTGAGTACTGGGAGGACACATTCAATTGCGTATTGAAACAAGTTGCGACCGGATTAAATGCAAGCGCTATACAGACCCATACCGATGCCAAGACCAAACAAACTTGCGACGAAAGCCTACGACTGTCCGAGAAAGTCGGGTAAGTCTTTGGTCCAGTGACTAATAATCCCAAGTAACAAAATTGGTGCTACGGTGATGTGGAATCTATTTCTTGTTCAAAAATTTCAGTGAGAAGAGTCGGGGAGAGAGAGGGCCAAACGCCTGCAAAAATGTTTTCCTAATTCTATCATAATCATTTTTATATTGGATCGATTTGAACTAATTTGACAAAATTTTGACAAAACAGACACTCACGTATTTTTCGATTGTGACAGACGTGTAGAGTATTTATGATTTTTAGCAGTTGTTGCCAACGTCCAGAAGAGAGCGGAATAATCTCCGCTTAGGAAAAAATTATATACGAAAATTGAATATAATTTTTGTCAGGATGCCAAGTTAAGTCCATGAGTCCGCCCATCTACAGTTTGCACTGATTAATCAAAATAAATCAAATGATTAGGCTGTTCAAAGTTATGCTATCCAGTAGATTCATGGTTTTGAAGAAACTGGTCTTACATACGAGATATGTATTCCTTTATGGTGATTTTTGGAGCTTTAACGATGTTTAAATGTATTTAAAATTTCGTTTCAGATACGAGCAGGAGTCAAAGACCCAATTCGTAGTAGATGCAGTGTATGCATTTGCGTATGCACTCCATAATCTACACAACGACCGGTGCAATACTCAAAACGATCAAAATACAGAGCAGCAAAAGCATCAACACAGTGAATCTGTGTGGTACAGGAAGCCAATTGACAGCAAGTCCCAGGCATGTCCCGAAATGGCCAGCTATGACGGAAAGGATTTTTATAACAATTACCTGCTGAACGTGTCATTTATAGGTAGAGTAATTCGTATTTCTACTTGCGTAGTTCAATTTGATACTTCTTGTAATTCACAACTAATTCACAATGTCCCCGTCTCTGTCTCATTTCATCTCCGAAGATCTGGCTGGCAGCGAAGTGAAGTTTGATCGCCAAGGTGACGGACTGGCCAGATACGACATTTTAAATTATCAACGTCTTGAGAACTCTTCAGGATATCACTATAAGGTAATCATAGACATTGAAACCCCCGCGCCTTGCTAACGGTTCCACCAAAATGATAAAAAATTCAAAAATATATGACGTTGCAGGTTATCGGCAAATGGTTCAATAGTCTCCAACTGAATTCGCAAACTGTAGTATGGAATAAGGCAGCTGATCAACCAACATCAGCCTGTTCACTGCCATGCGAGGTGGGAATGATTAAAAAACAGCAGGTATGACCAACTCAGACAAATTCACTCAGGCTTTAAAAATGTAGAAATACAATTTTCAGGGAGATACTTGTTGCTGGATATGCGACAGCTGCGAATCATACGAGTACGTGTACGATGACTTTACATGCAAAGACTGCGGTCCAGGACTCTGGCCATACCCCGACAAACTTTCGTGCTTTTCTTTGGACATTCAGTATATGCGATGGAATTCCCTGTTCGCCCTTATTCCCATGGCCATTGCCATATTGGGAATTGCAGTGACCATCATTGTCATAGTTCTGTTCGCCAAAAACCACGATACGCCCCTGGTTAGAGCATCCGGTCGGGAGCTTAGTTATACTCTTCTATTCGGCATATTGGTGTGCTACTGCAACACCTTTGCTCTGGTCGCTAAGCCAACTATTGGCTCTTGCGTGCTGCAGCGGTTCGGTATCGGCGTTGGGTTTTCTATTATTTATAGCGCACTGCTCACAAAAACAAATCGTATTTCTCGCATTTTCCACTCTGCTTCCAAGTCAGCCCAGCGCCTCAAGTACATTAGCCCACAGTCGCAGGTGGTTATAACGGCATCGTTGATAGGTAAGAATCCTACATAAATATCTTTTTTAGTCGTATCTTTAAACACATCGAGTACAAAACTAAAACGATAATGTTATGTGTTGTGTGCAGCTATTCAGGTACTGATAACAATGATTTGGATGGTGGTGGAGCCGCCTGGAACACGCTTTTCTTACCCAGACAGGACCGAGGTGATACTGAAATGCAAAATACAGGATATGTCCTTTCTATTTTCGCAGCTGTACAATATGATTTTGATTACAATCTGCACAGTTTATGCAATTAAAACCAGAAAAATACCCGAAAATTTCAACGAATCAAAGTTTATTGGATTCACCATGTATACCACTTGCATTATCTGGCTAGCCTTTGTGCCCATTTACTTCGGTACTGGAAACTCCTACGAGGTATGTACCATTTTTATAGCCTTCCTACAAAGTTGTATATGATTCTCAAGAAGAGAATCTTAATAAGGCTAAATAAACAAACTAAAAGTTAGAAGTTATTTGGTAAGAAAAGAAAAATTTTTTCTGCTACATCTAGTATTCTACTTGAAGTATATATATGTGGTTTTTCACACTTATTCATTAAATTATTTTCATTTTTTTAAATACACTATGAGTTTCTGCTTTTGTATAGAAACGTTCATCTATATTTGTATATAAGACTTGAGAGAAAAAATGTGTAGTGCATCATCACGTGAGAACGGCTATTTAGTTATTCGTATTTGCCAGAAGAATACGTGATGTTTTTATCACGAAAAAAATGGATTTTTTGACGGGATGGTCCGATTTTGCTCAAATTTTGTTCAGTTGTTCGTATTTGCCAGAAACATGTTTTTACGAAAGAAAACTTAGGAATCCTTCTATCGCGAGAAAAGGGATTTTGTATGTGTTTGTTTTGTGGAAGTAGACGAAGAGGCAATTGTCAATTGAGTTATAATATGCCTGAAATAAGTAATCGGAATGTCTTTATTAATCTAACGCAAGAGGAACTGCAGATGTAAGTGAATGGAGACGTGCCCATATTGCACAGGTTCGCGCTGAATAATTACCACCTCGAATCACCTCACTTCAATTCGAGCTATAAGGTATGGCGTCAGCATGAACAATTCTCATTTTTATTTTTTTCGAAATTGCTTTAAAACATTCAGATTCAAGGGAAAATTCACCATCGAGCGGGCGCTTTGGTACATATCAATTTCGTTGGAGATCCAATTATAATTGATAGATAAGTCGACACGACATTTCCGCTGTGGCCCAGAATGACATTTTCTGATAGATTTCGGGATTTAAAAGTTTTAAACAGTTTATGGTTTTTTTTTATGGTTTGGTTTTTTAGTTTAAGAATTTTTTTTAATTTGCTATTTTTTCATATTTTTATACCCGTACTCAAAAATAGTTAAGGGGTATATTAAATTTGTGGTAAAGAGCTATAAGAGCTAGGGCAACCTAGTTTGGTTTCCAGACTCATGTGATAACACACTGCTACAAGTGCATTTCAAAATTTCGCCCCGCCCCCTTCCGCCCCAACAAAGGACGAAAATCTTTGGCAGGCACAATTTTAAAGATACGATAAAACTAAACTAACGCATTATCGTAGAGAATGCCCATGTCTACCAGATTGCCGAATCTGAATCAGATCGGATCATAATTATAACCAGAATGAAGAAATTAATTTTTTGTTGCTTCCTCTGCCACCCCCTGCCAGAGATACGCTACTCATTCTCTTTCTCGCTCGCACACTCTGCCGCGTTCAGTGCGCGAACAACCCCTAGTGGAAGAAATGTAGAATATGAATGGTACATCTATAATCTACATGTTAGATGTAAAATATACATTGTAGATGTAGATAACAGATGTAGCAAAAAAATGTAAAACGTAAAAATTTTTTTTTTTTTAATTCTTAAATTCTTAAAAATCATAAGCTCAAAAATGTGTATGCTGACTGAGTACGGGTATAAGTAGAGTCGCGTCCCCAGAAGTGACTCACACGTTCCTTCTCGTTGAGTTTTATTTTTGTTGCTCAAACATAATCATTATGGATAATTATTAATAATAATTAATACAAATAATTGTTATCAATAATGATTATCTTAAAAACTTAAACAAAATTATTACTGTGTGATTTTTATTTTTAATATAGCTTATAATGATTACGGTCCCTGCTTTACAATCCTATTCATTCTTTTTCATATATTTTGAGACAATAATGACCATAAACAATCACACAAGATGGCTAGGAATTGAGTTTCATTCGAAAAGATTGACGTTTTTCCTGTCCAAATGTCCACTTGGACATTAATTTGTTCGAAATCTTATGGGGGAATGTCAAATGCATTGTAGCAACTGCACATCCTTCAACCAGGACAAAATCAGGGAAAGTTGTTATTGGCTTAAATCCTATTGAAGCAATGGCAGGACCTTACTGATCTATACCCGGCCAGCGTAAGGCCGTAATGAAAATCACATTAATAAAAAACTAAATATTAAACCTCAAGAAACATTTACACCATGTAACATTGGTTTTAATTTCCGTTTCGATGATTTTTTTGACTGTGCAGTCGTGATTTTTTGTTTTTTTTTTAATTACGCTGTTTTGCAAATTCGAATTATGTGGAATCTACTTATCCAGGCCGACAACATAATTTTTGCCCCGTGCAAAGCACAAACACAAAAAGTGATCGAGGTGTATGAAAAACATACAGTATGGAACAGGCTAACTAAAACTACAAATAATTTTTCAATTTGGTGGAGCTGAGCCTGGGGGACCGGCTCAGTTCGAGGGCCTTGGTTCATGGCTGCGCCACTGACTACAATATGTCTGTTAGCAGAAGATGGTAATTGTATATACATACATATGCCCCACCCTTGCGGGACAAAACTGAACAAGTTTTTTAACTCTATGTACCTACATATGTATGTACATATATCAATGTTGGTGTAATTGTACTTTGCACACCATGGGACACCAAAACACCAATAATACTATATCAAAAACCAAAGCTATAACATCGCATTGATTGTTTCAGATACAAATCACCACGTTGTGCATTTCAATAAGTCTTAGTGCTTCAGTGGCTCTGGTATGTCTCTACTCACCAAAGGTATACATCCTTGTCTTCCATCCGGACAAGAACGTGCGCAAGTTGACAATGAACAGCACCGTCTATAGACGATCGGCCACAGCTGGGGCTCAGGGTCCGCCAACTAGTTCCGGATACAGTCGTACACAAGCTCCGGGAATAACAGTGCCATCGGCTGGGGCTGGTACAGCAGGTACTACGGCGACTTCAACTGACCGGCCATCGCAAAACAGCCCAAGGCCAGGCCTGGACTTGGACCTGGACCAAAGTCAAGCGGACATTGTTCACAGAGGCAATGCCAGTACCAGCAAAAATAACGATCCAGATCCCGAAGAATGCGACTACACTGAGCCATCCTGTATCCGAGTTAAGGACTAAAACTTCAAACCTGAAATCCAGAACTCGCGACTTCATTTTGATCCCCGATTAATACATTAAAATATCCATACAAATACCGATAGCCGAATTCAACAATTTAAATATACAGCTTTATCTGTGGGAAATTTTAAATTTGGAATAGCTTTGAGTCTGCTACATCGAGAAATCAGTGTGATCGTGCACATGTCTTCAGAAATATCATACGATCCAAACATTGACGAGTGGGCTAATGTCAAAGACCCATGCATCTAGTCAAACTAGTCAAACTACCAATGAAATTTAAAATTCTTGTTACCTCGGAACTCGTTTTAGTTAAGTTTTTATAAAACTATTACCTATTATTATTCTAACTGATTATGTTTTATTATGATATACATACATATGTTAATCCTATAAGATTATATGTATAATAGTGTTATTAATCTGCAATTATTCTTAAGAATAAATTTGTAGACTTTGGCTATCTCGCTAAATGAATAAACACACAGATGTTTACATATGTACATATGTATGCTTTGAATTGTTTTAAAACCCAATTAGGCTCACGATCCGCATTAGCCTAAGTCTAAAGGCTAATCAAAGGCTTTTTTAAGAATTGCTAAATGTAAGAATTGTAAGACAATTATTTTGAAGTACTAATAGAGTTACGTTAGAGATCAACGTCGTACCATTCTGTAATAGTGCGCAGTGATATCGAGACTTCGTAAAGCGGTAAGCCATCAGAAACCTACGCACGCTTACATTAAGTTACAAAAAATCGTATGCATACGTCAATATTTAAAAACGGAACAACACCGTACATGATTTTTGTCCACTTACTGCTTATACTTATACGTATGTTTAAGGATTATTTATCTCCCAAAACATACAAATTTGAAGAGGGTATTATATACTCGTACATCCTGTTTGAAAGATACTCACTCGTATTGGGACATTCACGTGCAAACACGTGAAATAGACAGTCACCCTCTCGCCCAACCGATCGATGAATGCTGGCGCATGACGCGCGACGAATAAAATAATATAAATTGGAATAATTAACGGGAGACTAATAAATCATTCATCCACTGTGAAAAACCCAACCCACCCCAAGTGCTCCAATTAAAACGCCTATTAAAAATCCTTCATGCAGCTTGGCCATTGGGGGCATAGCATTGATATCATTCTGCTGGTCTTATTAAATATTTCTGCTTCTTTTTGACATCAAAGCAATGGCATATCGGTGTACTTACATATGTATAGCATTTTAAAAACGAATACTTTGCGTCGAATGAGTCTATTTCAGTGCATTTGAAAGACCATTCCATTCTTGCTTTGTTTATTTTGTTTAAGTTCAAACCAGTATTTCATTGTCTTACATAATTAATTTAGTATATTATTTACAGTAAAATATATTTTACAATATGATTAACTACAATCAAGAAATATTTTAAACAGTTTATGTTTATTTATATAATTTATATGAAGTTACCAGTGTACGTGTACCGGAATAAAGGAATTATTTTGGTAACGGGACGGGATGTATCCTCGTCACTATGTCACTAAACACATAAGTATGCGTAAAAATAAGATATAAATAAAAGAAAAACTGATTGATTGAACCCTTCAACTGAATGTGCTAGCTGGTAAACGTTATTTTGCAGCTCGGTAGTTGGGGCTATGCTACATTACCGCTACACACGCTTAGTTGTGCACTACGGCCGAGGAATGTTGGATGCTTCGTTCAAATTCTTCCAAGCTGAGGGTTTGATTCATATTTAAAAGTGGCAATTTTCCGGCAGAAGCTCTGGCAAGAAGCTCTGGAGAAAACCACTGAGCTAATTGATTATTTGTTGGTGATGACAACCGATCGTCTCTGTGGTAATTGCTTTTGATTACGCTTCCAGATTCCGAGATGTCAACACCACCTATGTATATTGATATAAGGCAAGTTAAAAAAGTTAGACAATGAAAACAATCCGTTTTATACCTGGAATTGACGATGATATCTGTGCACCGTGAATTACTCTGTGTCTGAGTTGTTGGTGTGACTGCTGCTGAAGTTGTAGGTAATGGTGATGTTGCATTTGCGAGATTCCGTCAGAATATGGAATATTCTGATTCATATTTTCAGTGTTCAAAACTGAATCCGTTGGCTGCATTGGTTTAAACCTTTGCTGGTTCTGATGCTGTTGCAGCTCTGCTTTTGAAACAAACGGTACTGGAGTCGGTTGATGCGGGACAGTGTTCAGACTTCCCTTTAGTATAGGACGGCCTAAAAATACAATAAGTGCGCCGAAGTTAGCATACTTAGCTTGCAGACTGTCTAGAACTACAGACGACTCCACCATATTTACCAAATGATTTTCCTTGTGCCATTTGAACCGGACCATGAGCCCATTTTATCGGTTGCTGATTACGAGACTGTGGCAGTTTTGGAGACATTTGTGGACTGTTTGGACTAATGGAATAGTTTCCTCCACCTAGTATCATGCGAGGTTGAGCGGACATTGCCTGCGGTTCGTTTCCAATTGGGTTTGGACCAAGCAGCTTGGTGTTAGTGTTCTGTGGGTGCATTTGGTATTGCTGGTGTGCCTGATTGTAAGGCGTTTCCTTATCAGCTGTCATCTTCCGCAGCACAGACGTAGGCGTGAACGCCAGTGGAGTGGGCGAGTTGCTATGGCGAATGTTTTGACTTATCCCATGGTTACTGGAGTTTTGTGGGAATAGATCTGGAAGTTTAAATTTAAGTTTATTAATTCAGAAATTTATCCTCGTAGAAATTCCATACCCTCAGGGTAGTTCTGATGTTGGGGATGAGCTTGATGAAACGATAGATTGGCCAAGCTGTGGTGATCCATATCTATCGGATATGCTGGCTTATAGGCTAGAGAATTTCTCCTACTATTTGAGAATTCCCGAAGAACGGTTGCAATGACGTCTTTTGTGTGAGTCACAGTGCTGGGGTTGCTCAATTCCTTTTCTAGAAACTCAACCGAAACATCTCCTCGGGCAATGCCTGAAATCAGAGAGTTTACCAGTAAATAATCGCACAATAATTGCCAAATTTCAACCAAATTGTATTCAAGAAAATTATGAAGCATCTTACTTTGAATTAAATGATGAACTTCCATTCGCTTCTGTGCCAGTAATATATTAGGCGTGTTGACACCTTGGATTTGGTGCTGCTGCTGTTGCAGCTGCGGATGCTGCTGCTGTACCATGGGCTCATTCATCCTCTTTGGCATGCAGTCATTATGCTTAAAGCGTTGTTGAAATGACTCCATGTTATCTTCCTTCATTTGAGGACTGTGATCCCGAAGTATGTTCTGTTGAGGATCCATTGAATGAGGCCGAAGTGTATTTTGAATTGCAGAGCTCGAAGCATTTATCATATGATAAACTTCATTTTCCATCTGATGCTGGCTGCTTTGGGAGCCCAGTTGCTGCAGGAGCTTTCTGAAGGCTTCCGTATCCCTGGCCACTGGCTTTTCCACTTGAGCTTGCTGACCCCCATAGGCCACGGCCATTGGGTTCGTGTAATCGGAACGCAGGTCCACTTTAGTCATTTGTGCTTCCAAGTCTTTAACACTGGGTATATCTAAAATAGGAAACGTATTGTTGTAGTGATCGATACCCTCCTCGCTGATATTTGCAAATAATGTTGAAGACCCACCGTGAGTTTCTTGTGCGCCTAGCTCCCGAAGTGCCGATGGCTCATTATTATTTGCAGCTTCTTTGGGTCGAAACCACCGGCTAAAGCGAGACGTGCCCTTCGTTTCATCCTGATCATCTCCGTCATTACTCTACGTTAATTGAAAATTAACATATATATTTATTTGTATGATAATAGCATAAATTGGAAAGAATAAACCCGATATCTTTCTCCCACGTTCGCCTACTTTTCCCTTTTGAGGCAAGAGTGAGTGGCTAAGAGTCGAGTTGCTGCGGTAGTGTTGTCTGATCAAAGAGAACCATTACTTTCTGTCTTTCTTGCTGAAATAGATAGCGGTGAAGGGAGAGAAAAAGAGCGGTGCCCCTTATCCCACCCTTAACTTATAAGCAACGCTGCGAGAGAGGCATACAGAGAAAGAGCGTCATACGTGCGCGTAAATTTGTAAATCATCAAAATAAGGTGCACGTCGCGCTTTGAATACCCTAATGGACAATTTTTCGAATGTGATGTCATAATGATATATGTATGTATATTATTTTTATATTTAGTTATTTATACAAGGTGCTTCTGCTTGAATTTCTCCTCAATTTCATTCAGCGCTGTCACACACTGATTTTTACGCTAAATCGAAAACGCGAGTCCAACACGAACCTTACTTTCCCATAACACTAGTCAACACGACATTTCCGCTGTGGCCCAAAATTACTTTTTCTGATAGATTTCGCGATTTAAATTTTTTAAAGAATTATGGTTTTTTTTTTAAGAATATTTTCAGAGGTAGTGCTTATATTTTTTAAATAACTTAATTATCTTATATCTGGTTGCATAGAACTTTGCAGTTGTGAGGAGCTGACAAATGCAGCTATAAATCCGACACAGACACTGTAGCAGCAGCTTAACGCCTGGAAGATATTAAGCTTTCAAATTCAAATTTCATAATTTTTTTGCGGTATTTTTCCTCGAAATGTTTACTTTAAAAACTCAGGAAAAGTCGAAAAAAATTCTTGACATGCATTTTAGATAGACGCATTAAAATTCGTTAACCAAACCTAAAACATGAAAATATATACAACAAATTATTTTTGGAAGGTTGCGGGCCGAACTGCCAATTGGGAACAGAGCTAGAGGTGGAAAAACATCGATGCTGCTATCGATGCATCGGTGTTTTTTAAATTTTTATAAGCATCGATGTTTTTTGGCGAAACATCGATGTTTTCTTTTTATTTTTTTTTCGTCTATGAAAGAAAAACCTAAAGAGAGAAGATCAAGCTCAAATGGTTACATTTTTAGATGAATACAGACGGCATGATGCCATTTAAAGCTGTAGCCCAAAACGACCAAAAACGGGGTAACGACATATCTCCGGGCGACAATTCTCCTGCTATTACTTTTTCTAGCAGGAGATATGTCGCTAAATTCTGGGCGGAGAAATGACGCCAAACTCCGCGAGGAGATATGTATGTCGTTTCAAAATCTCCGTGCGGAGATATGTCGTTAGGGCCTGCCAGGAGATATGTCGCTATGCCCATCCTACGATTCAGAGAGGATGTTCAGCAAGTGTGGGAAAATTATTTCCGTTCGTCGTAGACGCCTTAAGCCGGAAGTGGTGGACCATTATTATTTCTCAACAAGAATCAAGACTTTTTTTAAGATATAATCTGGAAAATGTACTTATATATATATATATATTTTTTTGTGAATGGATTTCGGAACTCATGATCTCAAATTAAATAAATTAATTAAATAATTAAATAAATAAATTAAATAATCTAAAATTTCACTAAAACATCGATATCTCCAAACATCGATGTTTTTACACCTCTAAACAGAGCAAACGAAAAGGGTTCGAATTTTTTGTACCTGAACGTGTTTCCTTTGGCATTAAATGTTGATGACAGTTACTTTTTTTCGTTGTGCCCAATCTGAGGTATGGAAACCTGTTCAGGTCAAATGTTGACCTTTATTTTTTCACAAGTACAGGTCCACACAAATTAGACATTTGACGCTTCTACCTATTCATATTTCAATGAAACCATTCCCTAACCCATACAACAATCAGTACTTTTTAGTCTTTTTAGTCAATTTTAAGAATATACAAATTTTCTATTTGGTGTTTGTTGCTCATTACTAACGTCCCCTAGTCACCAGTCGGAATGAGTTCCAGGCTGCTTTTTCATTCGTAGATAAAATATTTTTAAATCCATCATCTTTTAGTATAGTTTTCGAATTTGTGGGCCATCAAAAACGCCTTCTATAACTTCTGCCAGCGACAGACGTGGAAAAACAGTTTTTAGGTAAGAAAATGAATAAAATTGTTCAGTAGTCCCAGTTTAATGTGTAATGGTGGTAAAATAAGGTCTTAAAACTTCACGAGAGCTGCATTTTGTATGTTGTAATTTTCCAATGTATTTTCCTCCCGTTTTGGCCAGAGTTTTCTTGAGTAATACTTAGTTTTAACTCCCCTATCCCATTAGCACAGAAAGCAGCAGTATTTTGTTTAACCACCTTGCAATCCCGTTAACATGGCTACGACTTTTAAGTCGTAGACCATCTACTGGTGTTCTTTATATTTTATATTTTCAAAGAATTTAGACATTTTTATATGTTTCATTCATATTAACAGAATGGGCGATGGAAATTTAAGAAAAACTATACAAATTTTAAAATCCCGAAATCTATCAGAAAAAGTTATTTTGGTCCACAGCGGGAAGAAAGAGTTAAATTTTGTTGAGTGGTGTAATGGATGTTCAATTGGTGATTAACCCTCACCCTAAAATTTTTAAGTAAATTTTAGTAAATCGATATCCAATCCGCTGCCGGAATTTAAAGATTCCGCGTGCAATCAGCGGGCGTTCGATGTCCACCTAGTTCGATTCGAATCTTCGAAGTTAGGGCAGTAATGACCCTTTTTTAAGCTGAATTGGCTTACACACACATCCACTTTTAACAAAAATATGTGCAATATACCCCTGAACTTTTTTTGAGTACGGGTATAAAAATGGTATCGCGAATTCAACCGTGGACGTCCTTCGTTGCAGGCCGAATTTTGTGAAGGTAGTTTAAAATTCATTTTTGTGCCACAAAATATCGATGCTGTGCGCGAAATGATTGAGCAAGATCGTCGTGTCACATACTGTGAGATTGAGGTATCCTTGGGCATTAGTATGAGGACCATTAATAAGATTTTCCATGATCACCTCGTGGTAAAAAAGAAGTGCTAGAAGTGGAAGCCCACAAAATTAAACAATTTTTCCAAAAATACGATCGTGGTGCTTTAAAATATGTGTTTAACATCTATACAGGTGACGAATCATGAATGCATATATAATAAATCGAAAAAAAAATCATTAATCAACGGTATCAGTGTTTTAAAGCAAAAAAAAAAACCTGTTTTATAGATACTTTTTCTAAGTGCCAAAAGTCTTGTGAAAATAGGTTTAAATGTTTAAAAAAAAATAAATAGTAAAAAAAAATTTTAAATAATAAAACCATTTTCAGACGCCTAAGTTGTGTTTTTATAGTTAGGCCATAGCTAGGCAGCCTACGTAAAAGTAGAGTCGCGTCCACAAAAGCGACTCACAACGTTCCTTCTCGTTTAATATATAGGTTTAGTTAAGTTTCTGTCCGTGAAAAAAATTGCATAAAATTGACCACCGCATGCGCTCTACGAGCTCATTTATGTTGGCTAAAGACGGACCGGACTGAAAAAAATATCGTACACTCAATTGCTCTTCGAAATGAATATGTATTGACAATTTAAATGGCAGAACGTCTCCGTTCAGCTAGTAGTCTGTAAGAGGGAATAATATTTATGCAGGGCCTGTGTTCCATTGCATAGGAGCCGACTCATGTAATTTACAGATTGCCAACATGAAAACGACTATATTATATGGTGATATTTACCATAAGTGTAGGGTCCAGGGGGTGCATGTTCAGAAAGGCATCGAAGTTGAATTCACCCTCGGAGTTTGAGGTACAGGGTAAACGGCCTGATTGCTGATGGTTTTTGTTTTGTTTGGTAGTTTCCAGTGGGGGCTGAATGAACGTGGGTACACTTTCACCAGTGTCTTTGACGTCGTCCTTGGTTTTCCGTTCGATTACGTTTAGGCTGGATATACTGCTGCTTCTTGAGGCACCGTCGACCACAGGACGCTCAGCTGCTTGACTTTGCTTTGACGGAAATCGATTTGCCTTTTCTTCAAGCTCCGAGCGCTCATCGTTGTGTTCATGATCATCGAATCCATGCAAATCTATTGTCTCTAGCTGGGATGTCGGGCCAGCACTGAACCACTCGGGTTCTTCATGCCTGTCATGCTGATGGTACATGTTTGTGCGCTTTCCCCGACCTTGGATACCTCCAGAATCCTTGTTTGATGACCGGCGACTGCTCATTCCTTGCCTGTCGACAGATCTTTTGTTGTCGTATTGAAACCTCCTATCTCCTATATTCTCAGTAAGTCGATCGCTATGTCTTCCACTAAATGTCCGCGGGCGCTGTTGGTTCTGGTTTTGATTCTGGATCGGATTTTGTTGGTTAATACTTCCACTTCCATTCTGAGATCTTTCCTTCTCCTTTTCAATGCCAGATGATGCCTGCTGTTGGCCTTTGTAGTCCCAATTATCGGATCTGGGCAAAAGTCGGCCGCTGCCAATGCGCCTTTCCTGGCGAGTTGTCGAAAACGTCGGTGAAGATGCCAGAGATTGGTCATGATCTTGTTGGACATTGTTTGAACGTCTCTCACAGCTCTCTCCCACCCATTCACTACCTTTCCTGCTGGGGGAACTCATGCCTTTACCCTGGCTGTGCGTGGGAGTGGAGGCATGGTCTAGCCCTACAGTCATATTTTCTCCGACTGAAATATCGTCAGAATTGGTGTTCATCGGGTCATTGTTTTCCGTGCCATTACCACAATTGACTGCAGCAAAGCGTCGTTTGGCAAATGCTGGCATTAAATGCGATGAAGATATGCTCCGATGATCGATGATTGACGATTTGAACGATGGACCACCTAGAACGCTTTGCGTCGATTGTGTGTCTTTATCCTTGTCTTCGATACACATCGAGTGGGAATCACTGGGCGCAAAGCGCTGATAATAGTTATTGGCTCGCTCCCGATTTCGCATCGCTCGCCTCGAGCTTATTAATCCATTATTGGTGCTGCTCAGACTGGAGTTATCCGTCTCTGGGGATAGGCTGATTTTATTTGGATTTGCATAGTTGCTGGGAACATTGGCGCTGGCGTTGACTTTCCAAAAATTTAAAGTCTGCAGCTCATTTCGATTAACACATTGGGGGCGCTGACGACTACTTCCTTCATAACGTAGGGCCAACAAATCTGCCCTTGAGTACCTTAAAAACAGGGTGTAATAAAACAGTTTTATATTAAACACAAAAATATATGCAGGTATTTAGACAGGTATTTGCAAGAACTTGTAAACGGGTAAAAATATTTATCAGTTTTACGAACATTGGGAACAGCTTTCACTAAACGTGCACATTAATACATACACGTCTGCATGTGTATATTTATTTTTCATTATTCCTTATTGACGTAAATAAATTCGTCTTTTACAAATGCATTAAGTCTTAGTCTTAATACACGTGGGCCTGAAGTTGAACTTATTAATCCTATGATGAATAGTAATGGTCAAATAATTAAGCTTACCTCGCTTGATCTTTTGTTAAATCCATTTTTAACGAGGGCGAGTATTTTAGCCGGATTTATTCCAGGTTAATTTAATTTGAATTAAAGCTTTTGTTTTTGAAAATGCTATCCGCATATATTTCAAAATCACAATAGTACTATTTAATTACAAAAACACGCTTATGTCTCCCAGCGAACAAAAATGCATATATACATACATAAATGCATATGTATATACATAAGTTAGAAGCATCTGCATACGATGTAATACATTTTTTTTTCCAAAACAGAATACACGGTATTATTTACAAATTAAATAAGACTACAAAAATACACACAGTGACACATGTTCATTCGTAACACACATAATTTAAATAAATAATCTCCTAAATTAGCTGAATTTTGTGAAAATCACGACAAACTATGGATGGACTTTATGATCGTCGTGAAAATTATCGATTAATATATCATAAATTACGAGTTTAATGCGAGGAATGGATTTAAGTTGTCTTGGGTTTGGGAACATGGGAAAGAAACGCAAACTTGTTGTGCCTGATAATAGTCCACAATCTCGGAGGAATGGTGGGAAATTTTAAAAGAAATGAAACTCCGATTCACTATTTATCAGAAAACAGCAATAATACTCTCTGCACACTGAGTCCATCCTGGGGGAACGGTGGGAATTTTTGAAATATGTGAAACACCGATTCACATTGACACCATCCACCATCCACCATCCATGAGAAACAGCTGTTGCTCACAATTGCGTGAGGTGAAAATTTGTTTACTTTAATTAAAATGAATATAAATAACATTTCAATGGTCGTGAATGTGATTCAGCAGCAAAACATATTCTTGCACAAGCTAATCATGTTGTTGGACATGGACGATGATGATGAAGATAACTTTGACGAGGAGGAGATAATAGAATGGATATCTGTTTTGAAAACACTGAAGCCCGGAAGGTTGTGGTCATTTGTGAGTGCTTCTAATAAATGCAACCAATGTTTAAAGTACAAATATATATGTTATGTTTTTCAGAAGCGGTTCGGTACATTTTGGGAGAAGGATGTACCCGAAAACAACGAGGCGTTTTTTAAGGAAAGTTTTAGGATGGAGAGATCCTGCTTTTCTCTGTTGGTTACTCGCTTGGAAGTGCTACGGAAGAAGGACACAAACTGCCGAGCTGCAATTCCTCTGGAGAAGCGTATCGCCATATCTTTTTATACTTTGGGATCTTCTTCTGAAAAGAGTGTTTTTCGGAGTGTCAGCCAACAGCGTCTGCAATATCCTGCATGAGTTTTGCAGAGATTTCATCAACGAATTCTCAGAGGAATACATGTCCAAAAACTATCTCACTTCAGAGAAAATTGACGAGTGTGTCCAAGCATTTGAAGAAATTGGGTTTCCTCAGTGCCTGGTGCAATTGGTAATAATGCAATAAAATCATCCATAATCTATGTATATACATATATGTAAATTAATTTCATTACTTAATTTTTATGTTAGATGGATGTCACATCGAAATAAAACCACCTGCAGCTGAAATTTGATATTTTTTATTTTTTGCGTGCTTTGTGAGATCTGATGGGGTTATTTTGTTTTATTTTTATATTTTCCTGTCTGTCATTGTTTACATTTTCGTAGTGATCTCCGATTTTTTGTTGTGAAATATGGTTGCATTTGACAATTATCGAAAAAATACCGCACTGAAACGTGAGAATTAGGAACATCCCAGATGGATGGTGGAATAACTGGGAAATTTTCGGAACGGCAAAACCTTACGGACTATCCCAGAAATGGATGGTGGATGGTGGATGGTCCCCAGTGTGAAAAGGCTATAACAAAGTTTTTTTTATGAATTTTTAAATTTAATAAGTTGTAACGAGTGAATTGTCAAAAATATTGGTTTAGATCAGCCATTTTGAAATGTTGTTAAATCCGAATACGACATAAAAATTACAAAAACATTTGAAAATTTGTAAGATGTCAGAAGTCGCCATTTTCTGTACTTCCATATTGTGGGCAGCTGTGGAGCTGCAGAACGAAAATGCACACCGCGATATTGGATAAATCCGATCTTGCAGGACAGACGTGTAATCAACATGGTTTTTACCTCCTTTTAAATGATTAGGTATAGCTCATACAAAAAGGCCTATGTTATGTTTGCTGTTCGCACGAAACACACAAAGTATTGTTATATTGACCTTTTTTATACCCGTACTCAAAAAAGAGTTAAGGGGTATATTAGATTTGTGGTAAAAGTGGATGTGTGCAACGCAGAGAAGGAAACGTTTCCGACCCCATAAAGTATATATATTCTTGATCAGCATCAATAGCCGAGTCTATATAGCCATGTCCGTCTGTCCGTCCGTCTGTCCGACTGTCCGTCTGTCCGTCTGTCCGTCTGTCCGTCCGTCCGTCTTGATGAGCGCCTGGATCTCAGAGACTATAAGAGCTAGAGAAACCAAATTTTGTTTCCAGACTCATGTGATATCACACTGCTACAAGTGTATTTCAAAATTTCGCCCCGCCCCCTTCCGCCCACACAAAGGACGAAAATCTGTGGCAGGCACAGTTTTAAAGATACGATAAAACTAAAAACGCAGTATCGTAGAGAATGACCATATCTACCAGATTGCCGAATCTGAATCAGATCGGATAAAAATTATAGCCAAAATGAAGAAATTAATTTTCTGTTGCTTCCTCTGCATCCCCCTGCCAACGACCCGGTACCTATCTCTTTCTCGCTCGCACACTCTGCCGCGTTCAGTGCGCGAGCAACCCCTAGCGGAGGAGATGTAGAATCTAAATTTTACATGTACAATCTACATGTTAGATGTAGAATACACATTGTAGATGAGATGTAGATAACAAATGTAGCAAAAAAATGTAAAATGTAAAATTTTTTTTTTAATTCTAAAATTCTAAAAAATCATGCTCAAAAATGTATATACTGACTGAGTACGGGTATAAGTAGAGTCGCGTCCCCAGAAGCGACTCACACGTTCCTTCTCGTTATATTTTATTTTAATGGTTTGTTTTTAAATTCTACAAAAAATAAAACCACAAACAATTTATTAACTTACTGTTTTTAGCAGGTTATGTTAAGAGACTGGAAACAATTACTATTTAAAAGATTTACAAGACCAGTAGCGTAGCAAAGTAGGAAAGGTGCAAAAAAAAATTGGGGCCCCAGCTAAAGTCAGATACTTTACCATTAAGAGGGTAAATAATTGAATATTGGTATTAGGTCATGAGATTAATCGAATTCTTTATTTGAAAATGTATGTATTCAGAAAAAGTTATTGAACATTTAACAATATTACAATATTTTTCTTGCCTTACTTTTCGCAAAATTACACTACTCGACAAAATTTAACTTTTTATTTACGCTTCGAACAAACCCAACTTTTTCTGATAGATTAAATTTGTATAGCCGTACTCAAAATTGGGTTAAGGGGTGTATTAGATTTGCGATAAAAGTGGATGTGTGTAACGCAGAGAAGGAAACGTTTCCGACCCCATAAAGTATTATATTCTTGATCAGCATCAACAGCGGAGTCGATATAGCCATGTCTGTCTATCCGTCTGTCTGTCTATCTCGATGAGCGCCTACATCTCAGAGACTATAAGAGCTAGAGCAACCAAATCCATATCCAGACTGCTGTGATATCATGCTGCTACAGGTGTATTTCAAAACTTTGCCCAGCCCCCTTCCGACCAAACAAATGACGATAATCTGTGACAGGCACAATTTTATAGATACGATACAACTGAAAGCGCAGTATCGTAGAGAATAACCAATCTACCCGATTGCCGAATCTGAATTAGATCGGATCATAATTATAGCTAGAATGAAGAAATTAATTTTCAGTTGCTTCCCCTGCCTCCTTCAGCAAGAGACCCGCTACTCTCTTTCTCGCTCGCACACTCTGCCTCGTTATGTACGCGAGCGCCCTCTAGCGGAGGAGATGTAGAATCTAGATGGTACATGTATAATATACATGTTAGATGTAGAATATACATAGTATATGTAGATAACATACGTAGCAAAAAATGTAAAATTTACATTTTTTTTAATTCTAAAAAATCATAAGCTCATAATCATACATTTTGTATATACTGACTGAGTACGGGTATAAGTAGAGTCGCGTCCCCAGAAGCGACTCACACGTTCCTTTTCGTTTTTTTTTTGTGTATAGGTGCATTAATTGGGAGTCGTTTGAAGTATTGTACATTAAATCCAGTGAAGAAACGGCTGATCTGAAATTGGTAACAAACCCTCCGAAAATCATATTTTACCGTTTGTAACGTTACTCCAGCCGTTTCTCCATAGAATTTTATGAAGAATACTTTAAACGACGCCTAATTATACAAGTCGAATTCATGCTTGCATTTCAAACAGAAGTGAGAGATATTTTTGGTGATTTTTTGGTGTGAGTCTGGGCTACTAAGCTTGGGGGCCCCTTAAGCTCAAGTCTCCGCACCGTCTTGCACGTATGTAGCTACGCCACTGTCCACCAGTGTCTTTTGTTGATGTCCCTGTTGCGAATATACCAGTCAGCTCCAGTTGCCAAGCGGAGCACCGGAGCCAGGAGACTGTAGTGGACTTTATTCGTCAGTTTCGGGAGCTTGTAATGGTCCTGTATGTCTGAATGTCTGAACGCAATCTATCGCTCGGGAAGCAATCGTAGCCCAGCAATCAATGATCAATCACAGACAATGGGTATGACAGCTCTTCTGGCCCGTCACCTTTGTGCCAGTCTCCAGTCAAAATAGTGAAGCGGCGACGCAGCTCGCAGTACACTGACTCGAAGGAGGACGAACAAACTGACGGCAATGCGAATGCTCCAAATATGTTCGAGTGCTAAAAAGTTTAATTTATTTATGTTCCTTCAATTGCAACCATTACGAACGTTAAGTTGGATTACGTTAATTACGTTGTAAGCTCATTTACAGTTTTATTTTAGTTCTAGCTTAATTCGTATTTCAATTTTCATTGTGTATTTTATGCTCGGCATATAAAAATAAACAAAAAAAGTGTCTAGAGTGACACACAGGTATCTACACTCCTTCCACTGCTCCAGCAGCTCACCGTCTAGGAAGACTCTGGGGAACGTTTCTGGTCGACGCACTTATCCGGGTTCATCAAAAAATTCTCGAATTGCTTCAGGTACCGCTGGAGTTTTTCTGTGGCATCATAAACACAGCCAGCCCTTGACAGTACTGCCGTGTCCTCTGCAAAAGTTGCAGTCCGTAGATCGATCGGCTGGGACGGTCTTCTGGCGTAGCTTTTCGGAATGTCATGAGTGAACAGGCTGTATAGTGTTGGGCCAAGTACTTTGCCTTGCGGCACTCCTGCTCGTTTTGCGCTACCCTTAATGTTCGGTCAGGAAGCTGCGGATTGGCTGACAAAGCTGAGGATTGGTCATAGGCTTGATCTTTGCAAGCGGACCAGCCTGCCATACCTTGTCGAAGGCTTGCTGGATATCCAGCATTGACCAATATTTTCAGAACAGATCCAATTTTGAGGTTGGGTTAATAAAAATATTTATAAAAAAGGCACAAGCTAAATTGGCCTGGTAATGAGGTCAAATTCATATCAATGCATCAATAAATAATCTATTTTCTTCGCAATTAATAGGGTGCTCAGACTGGGGCTGCGTCATGCTTCTTTGCTTCTTGACGGAGACGCAGATTTTTGGTACATAGATTGGGGCCTCGTGGTGCCAAAAGTTGCGTCGCTTTAGGAAGCATGTTCGTCTATTCGAAATATTCGAATGCTTTGATTAACATAATCAAAAGCTTTGCTCAAATCTTTAAATAGAGACGATAACTCTAGAAGGTTAGTCAATGTTGAACGATGTCTAAAAAAAACAATGTTGCGACGGGGATATTGAACTATAGCATGCGTGTTGCAATTGAAGAGTAACAAGGTGCTAAAGCAGCTTTGGAATAGCAGATAGCTTTGTTAGATCTGGACCCATTTTGGATTCGTTCCAAATCACGGGAAGGCGAGAACACTCCAGAGATAAATTAAAAAGGAAGGTCAACGACTGGCATATATTAGACTACAGACTTATACTAGACTACAGATCGGAACTTTATCTGGAAAGAGAAAGAGATGTCAATGAAACCTTCAAGAACTGCGCTTTCTCCGAAGAAGGGGAGAAATACGTTTTAAGCATAAGGTAGAGGGTATGGATAAGGGGTGGAATAGTCGTAGGTACGCGATGAGTACGTCTATTAAAAGAAGGTGGCAAATAAAATTTCAATACCTTGAGCTAAAGTTTCTGTTTTATTCAATAAATGTAGAGAAGGAGGAAACGCGTTAGACTCACGTTTTGAGTTGACAAACGAATAGAATGTTTTGGGATCATTACGGAAGATTGTACTATATTGGGAAGGATATTGCGCATAGCATTGACGATTGACAGTAAGAAATTTAGAGCGAACAAAAGATTATTGATAAAGACAGATAAAGAACCAGTTATCTGGTACTTTTTGTATAGCCGGGATTTTTTATTTTTTGGGTAGGAAAGATACTTGGAGAACCAGGGCTGTTTGAAGGATACATACATATACGGTGACTTCAGGAACAAAGGTATTGATGGCGGAGTTTAACGTGTGATAAAACGAGTTGATTGTTGCATCTATATTTGATGACGACTGAAAAAAGGACCAATAAATTTGCTAGAGATGTAGACTTAGATCGTTCAAATTCGTTTTGCGAAAACACTTTATTCGACTTGTTGAAGGTAAAATGGTATTAATACTCGAAAACTCCACAACTATAGATAAAGTTCAATGGTACGGATCTTCAGGAAAAGATATCGAAGTGAGATCTAGAAGTCTGTCTCTATTGTTCTGTTCTGTTATCTACATCTACAATGTATATTTTACATCTAACATGTAGATTATATATCTTCTCCGCTAGAGGGCGCTCACGCACTGAACGCGGCAGAGTGTGCGAGCGAGAAAAATAATGAGTCTCTTGCAGGAGGGGGCAGGGGAAGCAACTGAAAATTAATTTCTTTATTTTGGCTTTAATTATGATCCGATCTAATTCAGATTCGGAAATCTGGTAGATATGGTCGATCTCTACGATACTGCGTTTTCAATTGTATCGTATCTTTAACATTGTGGCTGCCACAGATTTTCGTCCTTTGTGGGGGCGGGGCGAAATTTTGAAACTTGTACTTGAACACTTGTAGCAGTCTGATACCACATGAGTCTGGAAAAAAAATTTGGTTGCTCTAGCTCTTATAGTCTCTGAGATCTAGGCGTTCATCAAGACGGACAGACAGATAGACGGACGGACATGGCTATATCGACTCGGCTATTGATGCTGATCAAGAATATATATACTTTATGGGGTCGGAAACGTTTTCTTCTCTGCGTTGCACACATCCACTTTTACCACAAATACAATATACCCCTTAACTCTTTTTGAGTACTTGAGATAAGAGCATTGATGAAGATTTACATCTTCCGTTGTGGCTTCTGGCATGAGTCGAGAGGCAGACCACTGCCCTGAGTGGTAGTGCGGAAAAGCAAGCTGGTGGAGTTACTCCCAAAAGTCTCAGTGTGGGACCTGAGAAACTAGCAGAGGCGGCAGATCCAACCGCACCAGAAAATGGGGGACCATAATTTGTCGCTGGATGCTGTTGTGCATGGCCACATCTCTGGCAGCTGAGTCCGAAGTTATATTGACGAAGGGAACTTACATAGGCTTGAAAAAGTCACACGACTCTGACGTCGGATTGACTTCCATCGGTAAAGGCTGACCACTTGGATTTGAGAATGACTTCATTGGTTGTAGGTCATTCCTCTCACCTACAACCACTAGGTTCCACTAGGTATGACCAGCAATAAGTTATTCTTCGGGAATTTTCGCCTCGGTGATTCGCTCAAGAGTTTGAGGCCCAGAAACTGCGCAGAAAAGGAAACGTTTCCGACCCCATAAAGTATGTTCATGATCAGCAACAATAACCGAGTCGATAGAGCCAAGTCTGTTTGTCTGTCCGTCTGTCCGTCTTGTTTGTCGGCTGGATCTCAGAGACTATAAGAGCTAGAGCAACCAGATTTTGTTTCCAGACTCATGTGATATCGCACTGCTACAAGTGTTATTTCGCCCCGCCCCCTTCCGCCCCACAAAGGACGAAAATCTGTGGTAGGCACAATTTTAAAGATACGATAAACCTGAAAACGCAGTATCGTAGAGAATGACCATATCTACCAGATTTCCGAATTTGAATCAGATCCGCTACTCATTCTCTTTCTTGCTCGCACACTCTGCCTCGTTATGTACGCGAGCGCCCTCTAGCGAAGGAGTTGTAGAATCTAAATGGTACATGTAAAATCTACATGTTAGATATAAAATATACATGTACTGACTGAGTACGGGTATACGCAGTGTCGCGTCCCCAGAAGCGACTTACACGTTCCTTCTCGTTTCCATTGCAGACGTTGCACAATATGTACTCATTTCAAGCTCAAATTTTTAAAATTTATATTAGATAGCTTACAAATATGATTTGTATCTTAAAGAAGAGAAAATGAAACAAATTTTGAGTTTTGCTTAGCTGTATATACTTAAACGACTTTTTTTGCCCAATTTTTGATTATGGAAAACCACTTTTCTTTGCATGTACATACATATGTACGTATGTACAATGGGCATTACAAATATCGAGCAAAAATAAGGATAAACGGTAGGATAGCACATAGGATATATGTATGTATGGCTGGCTGGTAGGTTAGTTACTGGTATTTATACTCCTTGACCCAACATATTCATAGATGCATACGTAAATATATAATAGTATATTGGTTGAATACAAAGTAAAACTAAAATATCCTCTTTTAGAATGAAAGAAATACCTTACCTGTATTGGATACGTTTAATTAACACGACACATTTAAATTTTAATGAACTCGTTATATTTCGTAATGCTTACTTAAAATCAACACAGTTTTCATTGGTTGCGCTTCTTTCATAACAATATAGTTGCCTAATATTACCAAGTGGATAGCTCCATGCATTAGATGAGTCCGAAGGGGAGTTGGGGCTCAATGTCGTTGGTCGTGGATGATGCTCATTGAAAGGGTTTACTTGCGACTTAAAGAATACTGGAAAGGAAACTCTGTGCTGTACTTGTGGTTGAGCAGATTTAATAGCCACTGACTTCGAGTAAAATTTCTTTTTCAAAAACGTAGCTGTTGCCTTTTTTGAGCTATTTCGTTCCGGTTGGTGCTTAAAACTCTTTCCTCGAGTAAAAATTCGTAAGTGACCATTGAATCCTTTCGTCTCCTAAAATAAATTTTTTTAAATGTGAGTAAATAACAACCAATTCATTTATATTGGTCGGACTATCTGTATAAGTATATGGTCAGTGGTACCTCCTGGCCAGTAAGATCGAGGGAGAGTTAAAAGACTTCCTCCGATTGGGAAGCGGAATAATGAGGATAATAAAAATAATGAGGAGCTGTCCCGAATTCACGGCTCACACAGTTGGCTGGACGTTGGTGTTGGACCAAAGCGAGGTTTAAGCTGAGCTTTTGAAAATGCGAGAAAACGGAAAACGCAGTATTGTAGAGAATGACTATATCTACCAAATCACGTAATCTGGTTTAGATCTGATCATTATTACAGCCAGAATGAAGAAACTAATTTGGCTACCCCCACCCCTTTCAGCACTGCAGCCGCTCTTTCGCGCTCGCACACACTCTGCCTTGCCTCGTTCACCTGCTAGAGGTGAAGATGTAGAATCTACACTGTGGATATAGATGACAGATATAGATCACAACGTTCCTCTCGTTTTTTTCAATTAACAATGACTTGGGATTCTAATTCCAAACCTTGAGAGAATGGTTCGGATCATTCGTAGCATTGACTTTTAAAGAAGGGATCTACTGAGTATAATTCGCTTTGCTAAGAGATATTTACTTTGTCACAAAATGTGTCGGATTGGCCGTTACTATCAACAAAAAAAAAGTGACTGAGGCCCGTAAAGTGTACATATTATCACGAGCCCCATTCCATTCACCAAAAGAAGCCTGAGAAAAGAGATCGTAATTAAATATTTTTCATACCTCATTACATTTATAACCGTCCTTGCACATTTCGGTTTCCGCATTCAAGGAAGCCACTTTTATTTTTCCATTTGGGTTTGAAATGGAACGGTTAGTGTTGTCGAGCAAGCAAACATTTGATTTCAACTCAAGTTGATCCTCGGCATCCGTTGTAATACCATCCACATCCACATCCACATCAGCATCAGCATCTACATCAACATTTGTACTTGCAGTCTGAGAATGAGTTAAACTTTCACTCTCAGATGATATATCAGCTGGTGAATGTGGACACTCTTCGAGGGGCTCTTTAAGAACTTCGTCTTCCGTTGTTTCGATATCCACAACCTCGTCGTCGTCGTCGTCTTCGTCATCGTCGTCATCATTACCATATATATTTCTTCCTATTCCGTAAGCCGATTCTGAAGATATTGATTTATCCGAGCCGTTTTTGTTGTGAATGGATACTGATGTCGAAAAATTGATTTGCTCACTTTCGATATTGGATTGGATAGTGTCTAATATTGGCGAAAAAGCTTCCGCTGTTGGTAAGCGATGCGAGGCAGTTGTAATACTGTTATGCGTTAGAACTGTGGTTGTTCGGGCCGTTTGAGTTGGGGTAATGTAAACGTTGCTATTAGAGTCGCTAGACCTAGTGTATAATGAAGTGGATACAATTGCTGCTGAAGCGACAACTGGTTTAAATGCAGAGCAGCTTAATATCGATGGAATGTTATAATCAGAAAACGTTAGACCACTGCTGGCGACATCAGACAGCTTACGATTTTTGATAATGCCACAAATAGAAGTTGACGACGATTCGTTTTTCATATTAAATTGCTGACGCTCTCGCTCCCCCAAGCGAACGGCATTAGCAATCGTTGCTGGCATATTCGCTTCTGCTCTAGCCCATTGCATTGGACATGATTCGAAGTCAAGGGCCGATTCACTGGGGTTGGCGCCACAGATTTTAGAATTTTTCGAATGCTGTTGCTGATGATTTGCGTCCTGTTGCTGCCACATATAGTCCACAACAAAATTTCTGGAAAGGGGCATTATCGAAAGATCGTGGTCGTTGCGAAGCGAGTGAAGGGGTGAAAGGACCGATGAATGATGTAAATTAAATGGTACTCCAACCGTAGCAGCTGCTACGGCCGTAACACCAACCACAGCGGCGGCTGCAGCCACGGTACTGTAATTGTATTGGTGGTCAACGGATCGCTTTGATATTGGGGTCTGCTCTTTGCATGCTATGTTCTTAGCTTCTAGGATCTCACAGTCAGTTGGTGTGCTACACGAACTTCCACCTACTAGTGCACTAGCTGACGATGTCGTTGGTGAGCTTTGATTTCGATTGCGATTAACATTACTGTTGCTACTAACGAGTCTTTTTCTGGTGCCACCATTGAACATCGCCTTGACATCTTCCCATGCGTAGATAATTTTTTCATCGTGGGCGTTTCCACTAAGCGTCATATGACGTCGCCAGGAATTAAAGTTGGCAGCATCGGGCTGAACGTACCTGTCGTTTGTTGTGAGGCGATGTGAATGGAAAATGAATTTATTCGGTGAGAAGAACATTCCACAGAATGCACATTTGATGCATTTGGCTCGTGATGAGTTATACCGAGATGGTAAAAACGATCCACGACAGCCCCATGCACATTTGTGCTGCACGTTAAATGCAAAGTCGTCGGGCAATCGAGGTGGGGAGTTGTCGCCCAAGAAACTCTTACAAAGACGCTCAGCTTCTCTTCTAGTTATCATTCCGCATCGCCGCGAACTTACCGGCATGGCACCGGCTCTTCTCAGAATTTCCAACTGTACTGGTGTACATTGCACGCAGGTTATGCCAAGCGCCACACGTCTATTATGTATCTCATTATAGCTGAATTGTTTTAGAAGAGTATTTGAGATTTGCGCCAGGCAGAGTCGCTCTTGCCCCTCAATGTACAAAGACACAATTGGTATTCCATAAAGCAGAACCGAGCTAACCTAAAAATAATAAGCGTGCATTAATTGAGGCAATAAAATCGTCATATACTCGAGCATGTACTACTACTACTACTCGTCATATACTACTTTATGTAACGGATAGAAGGAATCGTCTCCGACACCATAAAGTTTAGGTATTCTATTCTTAAGGTATTCATTAGGTATATGTAGTAGATCAGCATCAAGATATGAAGTGGATATAGTCTGATAAGGGCGTACCCAGGGGGTCATTAGTATTATTAGTAAGAACAAATATTTTAAATTAATTTTCATTGCATATTTTCTAACGGTTTTTTGTTTAAGTTATTTGAAGGGATTTTTCAAATCAGCAGCCCTCATCACATCAGTACTTACACTATTAAGCCTGCAAAAATGTTTATATTTATTATTTATACTAGCTGTACCTTGCCACGTTTCGCTGTGGCATTTTGTGGTTGAACGCATAAGAAATGAGGAACACAACTAAGCATAAGTTTTAAATCCTTTTAATTTTGTAATACTTGTATAAAATATTTCGATTCTCTATTTTGCGCGTAAATCTGAAGGCTATCGGGTTCACCGACACGGAAAAAGCAATCCCACATCTAAATCTAAACCACACTATGGCCGAGATTGACCTTGAGCCTTATTAATTGTCCTTGCGAATGCCAATCGAATGGGAAATTGCAATATTTTGAATTGAAATTTGTATCAGTCGATATCATGGGAATCCTAAGAACGAGGACATTTGTACCTTTGAAAGGTCCAGCTAAGATCGTTGCCATCACGTTGTTCATCAAGTTCTTTACTGCGAAAGGATGCACCAAAGGGCGTCATTTGGAACAAGAATTATGTTTCCTAATATTCGATAGAAAATGCTTCGATTCAGCAGTAGATCCAGCAAGTAGAGTAGGCACTTGACTTTCCCGCCAGCAGAACACATTCCTTTCGTCTCATTATTGAACTTTAGAGCCTAGCAGTAAGTGCAGACATTACTCATCTGGCCAATTAGGACATGGCGACCGGCGCTATAATCAACAGCTGGATAATGTCGAAGTGTAACACAATTGTAATACTGATTTCGATCTACTGTTACCTGTGCACGAATCCTACTTCATAAAACAATACTTAAATTGCGATTTTCCGAGCTGCGGTCGCTTGTATTGAAATAAAAAGTCGAAACCAAGCTTAACCTTTTTATATGTATAGATTTTATTTAAATGTACTATGCTGAGATTGAATCCATCACAAACAGTTTGCAATCCAAAAATATGGGCATTTAAGTACTCGAAGCACATGCAAAACGTAGTAGAATAGATATAGTTAAGACGAATTTCTACAATATGCACGCCATTAAATGTGGCATTATGTGTGGAACTCACTATGCAGGAGAAAAAACTTTTACGGATTTAATTTGTGCATGCAAAGAGTGCGAATGCTATCCAACTATTAAAATGGTCCAACCTACTTTTTCTGATAGAAGTAGGTAGGCTTCCTTTAATTTGCATCTTATTGATTTATTTTCCACCGTTTTACATTGCGCGAAACTTGATCTAATATCAACACATCGAATACAAAAAGGAAGAGTAAAGTAATGACCATTACTTGAATGGCTATATGTAATGCAGATAATTTTTTTATTGCGGTCAGAGGTTAACACAAAAGTGAAACATTTTATATTTTCCCAATTCCTCTTCTTTTGAATTAAAGGTATTTATTAATTGTTTTGTCATTCGGGGCTACAATGAAAAATTGTAGTCCAAAAGACTGCACTGTTTTACATTTTTCTGGAATATTTTTAGAGACAAAAAGGATTTCCTGAAACCTGAGAAACACATACATAATGGCTACGTAGGCGTCAATCTAGTCAACAAATCTAGCTTTCTTACATTTTACTTTAAATTTATTTGGGTATGTTGGCGCATTTGTATTGCCATGATATCTATGTATTTGTTACCGTCATTATATATGTATTTATATATATATATTTCCAACCATCTTAAATTAAACAGAATTTATATGCACGCTACGCGTGCCATGCCAGCCATGTCTCTACTTAGCATTCATCATCCAGTTAACAATAAAATCTTCTTCTGAACTCAAACAAGGTTTTCACTGCTGTCTTTGCACGCCCAATCTTTATAAGCCATGAACAAAAGAAAAAAAAAATGAAAGCACGTAGCTAATGATACCACAAGGGAATCATTTGTTTACTTCTTGTTTGTAATAGTAAGAGAAAATTGAAGCTCCCCTAAGAAAGATATCCAAACTGATTCACTTTATGGAAGCAGACTATTCAGTGTGAATCTAAAATTATCTAGTCATTTTTCTCGCTTTAAAGATTTAGATATTCTTGTAGTTCCAACAATTTGTATTTTCGGACCCTTTTTGGAATATTTCAGGTTAAACCATGGTGTATAAATATAACATAACATAGTATGTTCAGACTTTCCTATACCTTCCATTTAATAGAATGATCCAAATTTCATTTCTTTTGCAATCTAATTTTCTTGATTTTGGTTGAGCTATCTACAGATACAAAAAAGGTGACCCAGAGACCCATCAATCGTTCCTGTGGCAGCTTTTTGATATATTTATCCGGTCTGGACGGGTATGTAAATCCTGCGTACATAGATACTGTACGTACATATACTGGGAGCTGAAAAGAGGTTCGGTTCCCTCCTTGTGTGTCTGGCAATAACATAATACTCTCTGAAAGGATTTGCACATATAGTAACACATTTTGATGGTCTCAACACAAAAATTCAAACACGCTTCTGTTAGTTGAATTATCTTTACCATTTGTTCGCATAAAATCGCAAAAAGCAAAACCAAATTTCATAGGAGAGCATTTATTTATTTTCCTATTGCGACATTCTTGTCTTCTTATAAATACAATACAGATTGCACTAGCCTCAATAACATGATCCATAAGAGTAAAGTATTATTTGATTAATTTGGCCTTGCAATGCTTTCATAATTTTCTTTAATTATAAAAGTATAAAGAATTGCCGTTCGGAACAGCCAAGCTTGTTACGGGACTACGGCACCCAAACGTATCTTCTCATATAAATAACTCGATTTTTTTATATATATTATTTTATACAACATCATTTAATTTCTAGTCTAAGAAAGCTCCAATTAGCTTTTCAGAATGGCAAAGTTCTTTACACCCAGATTTAAGATACTTTAGTTATTTAGTTATAAAAGGACAAGCAAGCAATAATAACAAAAAGTCAAAAAAAAATTCTGCACAAAAAAAAAAAAAATTCTCTAAAAAAATTTAAAGACCCAAACCCATCAGAAAACGTTGGTTTGGTTCCCTGAGGAAAAGAAAGATCGATTTTGTCGAGTAGTGTAACATGTTTTAGCAATTAAAATTCTGAGGTCTATGGGCTAAAATTGCTGAGTCAACAAAAGATGTCTTGTTACGCCATACGTTTTTCCCGCGGCCATGGATACATGGTAACTGCAGGACAATTTATTGCTAATGGTGATACCAAGATGAACAGCCTGATCCACGTATTCAATTTGAGTGTTATTGAGAGTTAGCTAAGAAAAATTTGTTTGCTGAGTATTTTTTTTATTTATAATACACTAGCGGCTCGGCAACGTTTCAATATGGCACATTGTGGTTACATGGGTGAAAATTTAGTCGAATAATGCGTTTAATTTATTTTTGAATTAAAAAACCCTTGTTCCATTCCCTTTTCCGTCATCTTCAGCTGATTCTCTTTGCCATTAAGGCAGCATTATCAAGTCGTTTATCCAGCAAACTTCAATGCCCCACAATGCTCGCAAACTTTCGTGCCACACCAACGTGGTGCCACTCCATACAAAATTACCAAAATCGCGATTTTCGTAGCCGCGGTCACTTTTTAGTCGGGATGAAGACAAATTCAACAAATAAAAAACCGTGAAAATCGGTCCAGCCGTTCTTGAGTATTGAGTTTTGATACAGACACCGACGTCCTGTTTTATATATATAGATTTAGAATTAGCAGGGTTTAGTGACCCATTGCACCTAGTCCATCTACTAACATTTGACAGTTCAACATTACATAACTTCACATCACACACTCAACACACACTCATTTATTCTTCTCAACGGACAACTAACAAACATTTGAACATCAGCGGAGTACATTTGAACATTACAATTGGATAACGAGCCTGGGAGATCATTGACATGTATGAGAAGACGAGTGGACCAAGGTTTAAAGGTTTAGGTACTCCACTTCTAACAGATCGGCAGAAATTCCGATCTTTCACTGCCAGTTCTTACAGTTCCAGTTCCAGTTATTTTTAAGTTCCAAGTACATAAAATATGGTGCCAGGTTTTTTTTTAATTTGTTAAGCCAGATATTTTCGAGTACCTCTTATAGATAGGGAAAAATTTATATTGCTTTGCCTTAGGAACTTTGGCCAATTTCCAATGATCACGGAAACTTGATGTCATAAGCGCAGTGTTATGCATATGTTATGTAATATGATTAATTATCTTCGGCAAAATAACTTAAAGAAATTTGGATGCAAGTCCATAACAACAGCGTTTGACTTAATTGTAAAAACGCATCTTAGGACATCACACGGTGTTCCACACATAAAACTTAAGTTCGACCAATTTTCTGTTTTTGAAAAAATCGAGAAAAACGTGCTTAAAAGGTTAATAAATGCAAATTTCTCGAAAAGTACTTAAGCTTGGAAAAAAGACTTCTCCCCTTGTTTCCAAGAACAAATTTTAAATTTTAACTTACAAACAAATATTTTGGTTCCGCTTTTATTTATTTTAAATTTAAAAATATGTAATTTTTTTTGGTAAATTTACAATTTTAGCGGCATATTTAAAAATATTTGGCCGAGCATTGGACTATACGAAAAAACAGTGGCGATATTCAACAAAAAAACAAACAAAAAACCATTACCACACTGGCACCTTTTGGGAGATATTAATCATTTTTCACTCCAACCCATGCTAACTAAACGGACCTACGTATTCGGCCATTAGAGAACGCTGCAGAGATGTTGCTTAATATATTTTTTGATTTAAATTCTAATTAGCTAAAACCTAGACAACATTTTATCAGCAAGGTGTCGCTTCGTTAGAATAATGCTGTTAAGGTCATCAATTATGACTATGTCTTCATATCTTAAGAACAATGTCATAATTATATGAATTGCATCTGAACAGTCGTTAGAACGATTTGATTTATAAAAGCAGCCAATTGGAATACTTGTTGATATCCCTGTACCTCCCTCTCTACTATAATTTCGCCCCCAAGACACATTAAGAATAATTACACTGATAAATATATCAAAAATTTGTTGTTCGTTCTACCCGTCATATATGCATGTTTATAATATCTTGTAGGTTCAATAGAGTCATTTATGCGGAATTTCTTACATGATTTGACCTTTGAGATGTTTGACTGTTTTCCATTCCATTGGGTGGTTTCGATGATACTTCAGTTTTTTGTACGGTTTCCGGAAACGCCATTTACTAAAAAACTAAAAGAAGATCATTAGATTTGATATTATTTTTCAACTTAGTCTTCAATGACTAGTAGCTGTTGAAAAAGTTGAATCAAATATTTGTCAAGTATATCTGCAGAGATTCTCGTAGTTACAATGAAAGGGATCGTTGAGAGTCGCTGAGGTGGCCGCGACTCTACATTTATATTTGTACTCAGTCAGTATACTATATGCACGCTTATGATTTATGTGGAATTTTTAATTTGTACCTGTTTTCGTCTTTTCGCTACATATGGTCATCTACATCTACAATGTAGATTACACTGATCGATCACGCTGCACGAGGCAAAGTTTGTGTGAACGAGAAAGAGAATGAGTAGCACTGGAAAGGGCCTCTGAAAATTAATTTCTTCATTCTGGCTATAATAATTATCCGATCTGATTCGGATTTGGCAATCTGGTAGATATGGTCATTGTCTACGATACTGCGCTTTATTTTTATCGTATCTTCAAAGTTGCGGATGCCACAGATTTTGGTTTTTTGTGATGATATACATGTAACAGTGTGATCCCACAGAAGTTCGGATACAAAGTTTGTTTGCTCTAGCTTTTATAGTCTCTGATATTTAGGCGCTTATCGAGGCGGACAGACTTACGGAAACGTTTCCTTCTGTGCGTTACACACATCAAATCCGACCACCTCAAATATGTCCATAAACTCTTCGGGTATGTACCTGGTATAAAAGGCGTTGTTACAAAAAAAAACTTTCTTTCATAATTCATTAATATTTGATTCAAATCGGTATAATATGACATATAGCTTAAGATGGAGGCGCGCCGAGCTTTGTATACCCTTGAAGTTCGACGACAAGTCCCAGTCTTCTCCCGCTTAGTTTAGTAAATATATCTCTCTAAACAGTCTTGTTGTTAGGCTTTAAGATACATGTGTACATACATACATACATATATACACAAAATTTGGCAAATGCTTGAGGTCTTTCGAAATCACAACAACAAACATATTAGCTGGGGAATTGAAAAGATTCTGGTCAGAAATGGTACTAATAACAATTTATGTTATAAATTTGTTTCATATAAAATAATCAGACGCTTGCACATCGCATCCCTTATGCCAAAACTCCCTCATTCAATTATAGAATGCGTGTGAATGGCATAATTGAAAAGGAGACTGGTCCCTAGAGTACATTCGTTAAAGATAATAAGGTTAGCAAAAAAAGTTATACAGTACAGATTGTTAAGCTTAATGCCATTGTTATTACATACCCACGCTTAAATCGCTAACGAAAGGCGAAACAAATGATTACAACAGGACTCCTTAACTCGAGAAGGGAGATGGTAGAACTAGAACCCCAGTCACCCACCAGACGACCAGAGGGTTGAACGAATTACAAACCAGTGAGGTAAATAATGACAAAATTATGTTAGTATTTAGAAAAACAGCAGATTGTTAACAATCTGGCAGATGTACTTAGATAAGGGGGGTGGGATGATGATGATTCCCTGAGGCTATTGAATTTACCATAGGGTTGTTCGTAATGTAATCATCAGTTCTACTACGACTAGGTGTGTTTTTATATATGCTGATATGTGATATATGTAAGTTCTTGCCTATCCCAATTTTGACACAAGTCTAAATAGAAACTTAAATTAAGTAAAATTCGAAATGTAAACTCAAGTGGCTGCTCCTATCTGTTACCTACTCTTACCTGTTACTAGGGGTGCAAACATACGAGTTCTGATCCCATAACACTTTGCCCAATTAAAATAGTAACATCCACACATGTGCTATACAAATTCAATTATCTCCAATTAATTTGAGTGCTTTGTTTATACGGGGCGTGGGCGTGCCTCACACTAACACTTGTGTTGTCCATCCAGCCAGTTCTCATATTTCAAAGTTTTTGGTATAAAAATGAGCCCACTCGTCGGTCGTCATACAATCTCTCGATTTTACATGCACGATGGACTATTGAAATCGAAAACGATTACGTTTCGGTTCGGTTCGGTTCGGTGTGGGCCTGGTCTGAGGGTTGAAGCATGGAAGCATATGCCCTTTGACGAGTACGAATACAAATACAGATACTGGGGTAGATAAAGACTAAAATACCCACTGATGAGTTGGCAATAATTCGCTTGAGTGGTTGCTGTCAACAGGCAAATAATAGGTGTTCTATTTGAGGGCGGGGCGGGGGGACATTACACAGGACACAGGCTGCCATGCCACTGCCGGTCCAAGTGCCGTGCTGAAGTCGTGCTGGTGCCAGTGATGGCCTTTTGTTTACACGTACAACATCATGCATATTTAATTGGGTTAAATTGCTTGACGATTAACGTTTGTAAATGAAATGCGCGGATAATTGAGTTTACTTTGTCTAATTACAACGGTTTCTATATGTACAACACGCGTATCCATGGAAATATTGAATATGCGGCATAGCGATTCGTCTCCATTAAAATTGTGCGGCCAATTTTTGATCAATATGTACATGCCCCGACATATGACATATTTTTCAATATGTGCAATGTATTTTCACGCGATTAGAGCAACCTCAATCAATTTTAGGAGGTCGAAAATTTGAAACAAACTTTATCCCAGCGTGTAATCACGCACTAAATCTGCACATTAAACTATCCAGATTCAATAGTCTCATGAAGATGTAAAGACGAGACGGACAAATGAATGAATGTCGACACGGATATTAAGGCTGATCAATTTTTGTAAAAATGCAATGCACCTCTGGGTACACGGTCACAAGTTATTCTGCAAGCGGTAGAATGGCACCGGACCATGATTTTTTGGGATCATTCATCATTTACAGATTGTCAGCGGCTCCCGACCTCTATTCCCCCATTCCGATCTCAGTACTAGGCTAAGTCAATAAAATGTGTTCTGTACTCTTAACGGACCTCATTAAAAATATAAATTTATTGATCTGTAGATTGCGACAAAATAACATAGTTTGTCAAATTCAAGCAATGGAAATTGAGATTGATTGAAACTCGAGACCTGAGCTACAACAGTACATCAGGACAGAAAGGAAAAACAGTTAAGGAATGTAAGGAATGTTAGCTTTGCATCCGATCATTCTTATGGCCGCAATATGCTACAGTATAGTGAATATTGTCTGATCTGGTGTACATATATATGTACATGTATGTAAGTAAAGCATTTGTATTATTTGGTGCAGATTATTTACTAAAAAATACAAATTTACATTTATTTTTATGTTTTGACTTAATTAATTTCCCAGAGTTTTCAATTTTAATAAATGATTAGCAAAACACAATTCGATAACTGATTCGTTTCAGGAAGCTAATTATAGGCACTCTTGTAGAAGTATTAAGACGTTGTCGCGCAAAAGGTAGGAAAAGGTATCGCTCATAAAAATCTATGCAAAAACGGCTGTGTTCAATTTGTTTGACCACCCTCCGAAAATCACATTTTACCGTTTGGAACGTTGCTTGTTTTTGACTTCAGTTTACAAAAATATTAAGCAAAAAAATAAATAAAAACACTAAACTCAAAATCAATAAGGTCAACCAATTTTAGCTCAACCTTTTATTCATAGAATTTTATGAACGATACCTTAAAGGCCTAATAAATGCAACTGTCAAAATAAAATAAAAACACAAGAAATATTCCTTCGACTTTTCCTGAGTTCTTAAAGTCAATATTTTGAAACAAATTGATCAAAAATGTATTATCAATTTTGAATTTAAAAGCGAAAGCATAATATATCCCAGACGGTAAAATAAAACTACACAGTGTTCGGGTCCAATTTATAGCTGCATTTATCAACTTTCTAAAGTTCAAAGTTCGTTACAGCCAGATGAAAGAAAAATGAAAGAAAAAACCTACATCTAAAATAAAATTAAAAAATATAAATGAAAACTTCCATTTTGTTGGATAGTGTTATCAAACGCAGCCCTCAAAAATAGGTGCTCTCTTTTCTTGTCATCGTCATCTTCCCTGCGCCCAGTATGCGGTATTTATTAAATATAAATATATGTACGCGTGACGAGAACTTGGAAAATCATTTAATAACGTTATATCTATTTATATCTTGTAGACACACTCATGCACATAAGCTCGAAGATTCGCAATTGGAATATTTGAATACTAATTTTCATCTTATAATAAAATTACTTAGCCAACCAATTCGAATCCTGTTATTTATTTTCTTAACATACTAAAACATCCAAATGCTGGTTTGTCGGATTAAGGGAGCCCTCCTTTCGTTGTCCGATGGCTGGTCTTAGATTAGTAGCTGCGAGCCTGAGATACTATATCTACAATCGATTATACCGATACAGTTGCAGCACGATTTTATTATGACGAAACTGGTTCAATTATTTCAAGCCTTTGATGTACACCTTTCATAGGTTATAGACGTTGTATAAATGCATGTTTATATACATATATATGTATTTATGTGTTTGCATTGTAATGCCGAGAAAAAAATCAGGGCTCTGAGCACTCGAATATCACGCAACGAATTGTTATCGAAAACTGAATGCGAAAAACAGTTTTTGGTTGACATTGAGACGAACGCAACGCCGAATATGTACATTGAAGTCCGAGTCTAAACTTATAATACCGATGCACCTTATGAAAAATCCTAAAAGGGGAAGGAAATTCCACAAGCTTCCCAACCAATAGGATACTTTTGCCACTATGTACGAGGTCCATTATCGAAGTAAAATCCAACCAATTGGAAAAGGTCCTTAATATTAAGGGGCGTTAGCATTTACATGCGTCTGCGCCCTTTGTACCATCAAAGCCCAGTACATACTAAAGCCATCATGTTGTACATATCACATACGTTTTTTTTGTTTCGAATTCATCGAGCTGTGAATATTGCTTTTAATTTAATTAACTGTCCCAACCAAATGTTGGCATGAAAATTAAATTAAGCTTGCTATGGAAGCTATGGGAGGGTCAGGAGTCAAAAATGTGTGCGGTTCGGTATCGGTTCGGTATCGTAGAAGCCGAGAGTATCACATCATCCCTCGAATGCATTAAAGATATAATAGGTAAGGACTCATATCAGTATCAACGGAATAATTTACTACCGGATAGTCGCAATTTAAAGATGATTTTTGCGTTGTGTAAATAAAATAAAACTATTACCTTACAACTTTTTAGAAGCATTAATGAACTAATAGGGAGTGTTTTAAAAATGCAATAAAATAAATTTAATATTTTATTTGGTCCAGTTTCATTCTGAACGCCACAAAAATATAAATCCTTTGCTCTTCTTACATATGTAGGGTAGTCATATTTTTGATCAGGACGACAAGCCTGATGTCCTGTGTCTTTATATTTCTTTTGTATATGTAGGTGCATTAAATAGGCGTCGTTTAAGGTATCGTTCATACAATGATAATTCATAGGTTGAGCTAAAATTATTTGAACCATAGAAAAATAAAAAAGTACCGTTTGGATGGTTGCTAGCTGAACTGCCAAGTTGGGAAAGGACTTGTAATTCTGGCATTAAATGTTGTTGACAGTTACTTTTATTGGTAATACCCAATCTGAGCTATGGATACCTGTTAAGGTCAAATGTTGACCTTTATTTTTTTACAGCTGCTGATTCACACAATTTATACCTTTATACATAGCTTCTACATATTCATATTTCAATAAAACCAAGGAAGAAATTCCTCAGATATACATAGGATTTCTTACCTTAACCCATACAACAAATTACCAATATTCAGTCTTTTCAGTAAATTGTAAGGAATAAAGTTAGTTTTATTTAGTGTTATGTTACTACCATTTTTTAAGATTAGGTTTTTATTTGATTTATTACAGCTTGTTACTATTTTTCAAATATTTAAAGTTTTCTAGCTGTTATAAGAGACAGATTCTCTTATGAGATTCCACACATAATCCCCCAAAATAGTCTGATTCCAAACACCTTGATGAGTTTATTTTTTGTTGAAACTTCTCTACGTGTTCATCACTAATGTCGGAAAAAAGTATAAGTGGGTTGTAGGAAATGGATTTTTAGTGACTTATTTGTCCGATTTTTTCATAATTATTAGATGATACTAACATAATAATCAGTCATTCCTAGATAAAGTATTTTGAAACCCATCATATTTTAGTAGGTTTCTAATTTGGGGACCATCAAATAAATTTTCTTTCACTTTTGCCAGCGACAGATACACAGTGGGGACTTCGGCCATTTTAGCTTGCTAAATTAATAACTTCTGTACGAATCAAGATATCTTCTTGAAATAAACTGCATTTGACAGTAAAATTCAGTCTGCAAAATAACTACAAAATAAACATATTTCGACGAAACAAAGGCTTCAACGTCAAAAATAATATAAAAAATTTAAAAAAAAATTGAAAAATTTATTTTTTCTCCATCGAAAAATAAAGTTTAATAGATATTATCAATACATATAATAATTAAAGATTTTTTTTTAATCTACATATGTATGTATATAAAAATGAATCCCTATTTGGTCCCTTGGTCACGTGATGCCGTGAACAGCTGCCCAGATTTCGCTAATTATGGTTTTTTGTTGTGTTTTTTATTGTCAGGAGAAGAAAAAAAGAAAAAAAAATTGGCTAATTGTTTAAAAATAGTTTAAAAGTGCCTGTTTGCTGAAAAAGACGGAAAATTGTGTGGAAAGTGCTAAATAAATTTTGTATCTATTTCGAAAACTGTTTTGTGTGAGTATAATCATCATTAATATATGTATACTGATTAATAAAGATGCTGCATAATAAGATGGTTTTCAAATATGAATGAGGAAGAACGGGAATCCGTACGAGAGATAATAACATGAATCATCCATATGGATTGCAAAAACAAATTTATGTTGAACGTATTATTCGACTCACTTCTCATCCATGCAACTCAATGTGCCACAGGGAAACGTGGGCGCGTACAGCTAAAAAAATATAATTTTTAAAAATTAAAAAAAAAAATAAATTTTTGTATTATAAAACTTGTAAAAAATATCTCTTAAACTGAACATTTCTATAGAAGAACTACGTCGTCCAAGGTTTGATCGTCTAAAGGAAATCATATTATAGCGCAATTGATGAATATCTGGAGTTTAGAACTAATCTTCGACTATAAAAATTTCCCTTCGCCTACTTAGCAGGCATTAGTCAAGCAAATAACTAATTGATGAATAACGAATGAATAATGATGAATCGTCAACTATGACAATTGGCTCATCGCCAGCTTCTATAAAAGAAACAAATGCAAGATCACTTTTTTGCGATCGTTGGTTGGTTTTTCTGAAATTTTCTTTCGTAAAAACATTCTCTTGGTAAATACGAAAAAATGAACAAAATTTGAGTCAAATCGGCTCAGCCGTTCTAAAAATCAATCGCGTTCGATGGTTTTTCTTTCGTAAAAACATTCTTCTGGCAAATACGAACAATTGAATAAAAATGTAAACCAAATCTGCCCAGCCGTTCTCGCGTGATGATGATTTTTATATATGTATATAGATTAGAATATTGACCTCATATTTGATCGTTTTTCAACTTTGACTGGAAATTACAAAAATATATCCCTGAATAGGGCTTTTAAACTTAGGTAGAGGAATAATCAAAGAGCATGTGCAAAAAACATATCGTCAAAACTTAGCTATATATTTTTTGAATTTCAAGTTAAAATTAGAAAACAACCCTAAAATTAGAGGGTTTGGAAAAAAGTTGTTCTCTAGAACTCTCAACGGACCAGTTCTTCATTGAATATTGATAAAAATTAATACACCTAGTAAAAGATATCTAAAATAGAGTCATACCTCATACAGTTTACTTTTTATTCTACCTGAAAGATGCTTATGGTGGTACAATAACGTCTTGAAACTTCACGAGAGCTCCATTATATTTGTTGTAATTTTTTGGTAGTAAGCTTCACCCAGTTGCTTGAAAGAGCAGAAAGTATTGTGGGAAATGCACAAATCTTCCATCGACGTATAAAATTTTGCATGAGGCAAATTACGCATCCGGTAATGAGTTGTTGACGTTTTCTTTCGATAAACCGGAATCCTTTAAAGAAAGATCCAAGCAACTCGGCTTGGATTTACATTTATCATCAGTGCGAATGGACTAAACGAACAATTTTAAATATTGAACTGTTCAATGGGTCTGGTGGTGTTCCAATTTATGGTAGATGCAACATATGCCAGCTGACTGGCGCATGACAATGGGGACATTGTTGGCACATATCACTTTCGTAGGAGCGGAATACTCAATATCTGCCACGTACTGAAAGAACGAAGCGGATTTAAATTCTCGATGTACTTGTTGCTAGTATTAGTAGTACTTTTTGTACTTGCAATATTCATTGTTTCATTGTCATTATTTATTGTTTTTGTTTGTGTTTTGTTAGTTTTATGCTCTACTTTATTCCACATTTGTTGCTTTAAATACAAATATTGCAAATCTGCATCGTGCAGTTTGCGTCTTTGTCGGAGAAGAACGAGTTAGACCGGCGTGTTGATGTGTGAGAACCGATGTATTTGAATGTTGTATGGAAAAAATTTAAGCAGATCAAATATTTTAAAGCTCGTACAAAATCATTGTATGTGCTGACTGACTACCAGTTTGTATGTATTTGTATTTGTCTTAAGTTACGTAAAACAACAATGCAAATGCAATTGGATTTTTCCGAGTTCTAGTGCTAACATTGTAAGCTTTCCAAAAAGGGATACAATTTTCAATTTGGAATACAGGAAGTGTCTCAAACACAGTCCTGAAAATAATGAGGTGCAGAACTATATTTCCATGACCGCAGCTGTGTAACCGCCAACAGGGAGATCCTGCACCATCTTGACAGTTTTGCATGAACAAAGTCCTTATCTAACTGTGATCGGATTGATGGGTCCCCAGGCGGCGTCTCCTGCATGTCCAGCGACAGCAGCTCGTAGAAAGGACGGACAAATGGAGATGCTTCTACGGAGTATCTTAATGTTAAACTTAATCTATCGAAGTCTTTTTGGTGCTGGGCAATTTTGTGGTGTCGAATTTGGTTGAGTCTAACGAAAACTATTCACATCAAAGTTAGCAATGTATAATGTAATAACACCATTTCAAACACAAGTCAGTGCGAGAAAAAGTCAATCGCTTATATATACGCAATGCAACGAGAAGTGGTTTGTCAGGCTTCTCTCAGCATACCTCTTCAGTCTGCCTGAGAACCACTCAATTAGAAAATTATGTACCGTTTTTTTATTTTTATTCTTTACTTGCCGATGAGGCGATGAGGCTCGACTCACATACTCGCAACAATATTGTTTCTGGAGGGGGTTCTGTTCTCCTGGCTATGCATCTGTACTATCTTTTTGACAAGATGAATATCCTTCCAAAAGAGAGAGAGAGAGAGAACTTTAGCGAGAGCCGTTGGTAATTGTTATATTAGCCGCGGTATACATCTCATTCGCTGGCCGGCCAAAGAATTTGAAAACCAAATTCTAAAGTTTTACCGAACAGAACGAAGGAAAGCTTACAGCAGC